TGTGAAGTTATATCAAGTTGAATGAATATCCATTGTTATGGTCACTTGAAAGCGTTACTAATGGCAAAAGATATCTTTCTTCGGACCTTCAACAGTTTCAACATAAAAGCCACAAATCCTTTCCACATTCATAAGAAATTTCTGTCAAAAACGTCGATTGTGCAGTTGTGACTGTATCATGAGCAGATATGTGTTTCAGCAGTATTACAGCTGTATGATGTTGTTTGTAAACATGGTTCGGTTCTGAGGACCACCGGTACTTTCTATGGTATAATCATAAACTATGTTCATATTGTCATGCAGATGGTGTTTTCTGTGTTGGGGAGTTGTTTTTAAATCTATTTATCGAAAATGAGGTATTTTGAATTTCAGTTAGCCATTGATGACCACAAAAGGATATTTTGTATTGTGCATTTCCCGCCAGCAGTTATAATGAACATGACGTTTCTGGTGATTGTGCATTTGAGGCATTTACGAAAGATGTGTACTAAGTATATTGTTTTGACATGGATGTTTACAGGAGCAGGACAAAGTACCATGTAAAAAAGACTTGCTTTTAGGGATTTACATCGGTGCTTTGGACGAGGATGTAAAATGTTAGCCTTTCGGTTGCCGGTTAAGAAATATAGTGGGGAAGTTGTAATAATTCTTTTGATCATCTCAATCTCAAACAATTGACAATGGTGTGGTAAATACATCTTGTACTCTTGTCATCTTGTCATCTTGTACATCTTGTCGTTGTTAATACGTTGGATGGCACAACGGCATGGAAATACGATTGACATAAATCATTAACGTTGTTGTATATTGAACAAAGTTTTTCAGATTTTCTACTGAAAAGAAAGTACACACCTGGTTTGGGGGGACTGTTTTCAAAACAAACAACGTTAATATTTTGAAACGTGTTTTGATTGTGACTTACATATTCAGTGTGTATGTGCTGTCAAAACACCACCAATCTATATTAAATACATGAAATGTATTAGTATATTGATTAGATGACAAGGGTCCAAGGGTTCACGTTATGCGTATTAAATTTTGACACATAAATGAGTGAGTGAGTGAGTTGGGTTTTACGCCGCACTCAGCAATATTCCGGTTATATGGCAGCAGTCTACACATAAATGAAGTATTGATTCTGTATATATAACCAATATAAAGGTTTGGATAAGCTATTATTTAGGGTATACTAGGGCGCTGAATATCGCCGATACATTCTGCATGACGTATAAACGGTGTTTTTATCCCACAAAGACGGGTGTTGCATGTGGGAAGTGATTTGATCCTAGGATATAAACATTATAGAATGATAGGGGAGTGGCCTGATCCTTGTGCTCCAGCATCCACTTATGGACATTCGACAAAGCCGCCTTTCGGCGGGGAATTTATTTGTATTCTCTTGAAATATAGAAAATAGTAATAATAAATTAAACACTTTGTTCCAAACAAAAAAGAAAGATGACGACAATTATGATGAACTAAAGTGAACGTCGAAGCCTCTGGCCCTTACAGATTATTGTAAAATAGGCCTCTGGTGTTCATGCAGCACTGTTGGGGGATTCGGACGACGTCGTAAACGTCTCGCCATTTCACAATGGTGACAAACAAGGGAATCTTGTGCGCCAGGGTAACACAATAACAATGTTCTGATTAAGATTGCTATTCATTTCGATCAACATGTGGTCTGCTCATAAAAGCGCGAGTGGAAGGTCAACCGAATTTGGTACTCCTGTTTGCCTTCTATATTTATAGTGACGTCTCATTCTCATAGGCCTCTGAATGTAGTCAAGATAGCGAATAGATCCGATGTATATCGATCATCATAGAAAAGAATGAATACGATGTCTAAGCGAGGAAGTTGTTATTCCCTTATTGGCACCAACTCAACAGACAATTAGAAACAACTCTCAAAACAAAAGTATATAATATCACTATGAGAAGTACTTAAAACAATTAAAAAATACATGAAATTAACAATTTAGGACAATCACAATCACTACTGACCAAGAGCATTCGTTTGGTGTGCTCTCGGATGGTAGTTGAGGGTGGTTGACGGACGGAAGACAAATGTCAGGTGACGTCGGCAGCCATGTTTATTATGGTTGGGGAATAATGGTCGAAATGGTACAAGTTGATGTTAGACACGTGACAGAACGCACATCGGGACCCGCTCTGTCTCTCACACACATGCAGAAGTCGGACGGTGATTCTTCTTCGTAGACGTAGTCGTTGGCGAAGCGACGGCCTTGACCGACGCCACGACTAGCCGTACAATCCGTCCGCTTAGACTGTCGATAATCTGGGCCGTCTCCTACGCTGGAGACCGTCTCCTTATCTCGTCTCCCTGGAGACTGTCTCCTTAACTCGTCTCCATGGAGACCGTCTCTCTGACTTATCATATCTGTCAGGTTTTGTAGCAAGGCATATTACGCAATGTGATGAAAGGACGCTGACCTATGCACATGTACACATAATACCCGCCGACGTAGGGAAGAGTTAATTGACATTTACAGATAGCTTTGAGAATCAAGGGTTTTAAGATAAGTTGAGTTGAGTTGAGTTGGGCTTTACGTCACATCGGCATTATTCCAGCCATATAGTGACGAGAACGAGTCTGTATTTATGATAAGAGGGGATACGCCGAAAGTTTGCTGAATGCATTAAACAGACAAAGGAGATAGACTATCGGTGCACTTTGGACACACATTGAAACACTTAGGTCGTTTGAAGTTTTAAAGAAACTTATTAAAATGGTTTGCTCTATGACGGCTATTATTTCATCACACCCCATCCATATTACCCTACCAAATAGTATTCGAAACTATGCCTCTATGATTCTCTCTTTGTTAACTGTATAAAACACGGGCATTACCCGTAAACAGTGAGAAATCCTAAGGTGTAATATAACATATTAAATGTATATTTAAAAAATATCAGGAGCAAGTAAATTCACATTTTGTGTATGATTCAGCTACATTAGAAATTGAAAAGCAATTTAATTATTCAGGGTTATCGGTGGTATATACTACATGGTAATCTCAGTCAATCAAAGTGTTAGCCGAGGAGGGTCTAGAGTTTGTAATGCGGTAGTAAATGAGGTTAAGGAAATAAGTTAGATGTTAAACTTTCACCAGAGTTATTTGATACTTGCGTTGTACCAGTATTGCACTATGGATGTGAAATTTGGGACTAGAAACGAACGGAGTGTATTGAACGAAGACATAGATTCACGTTAGTCACTCTGAGACAAGTGAATGTTGTGTGATATTGATGTAAGGTATAGTATATCGTCGAGTCCTTATATTTTAATGGAAATATACGGTAAAGCATGCAATATTTCCAGTCATCGGTATTGTTACAAAAAACATCTATTATCTGAAAATGTCTGTCACCATAACTGGTTATCTCCCCTCAGTGTGACTGTACCTACTTTTCGCGCTGCGTTAAAACAGCCCCAAGAAGATAGTTACATGACAACCTGGTATGAAAATGTTGGCAAATCTTATTCGCTTTACTTGTATAATGATTTTAAAGTGAAATTCTGTCTGGGAAATTATCATTACAAAGTTTTAAACTCTAGAAATAGATGTGAACTAACAATATAACGATTATCCTCTCATCCTCTACCCATAGAAACTGGTAGACATTGATGCAACAGAAACCCGCTGTGAAAGAATCTGTTTAGAAGGTAAAAATATTGATATAGAATACGACTACCATTTTGTCTTGATATGCCCTTTGTATAAACAGTTATGATGTTAGTATATTAAGCAACATTATTGTTTAAAACCGCCAATGCTAAAATATTTGCAATCATATCAATGCGAAAGTATCCCCATACAAAGAAACTTAGTGAAATATGTTTGTGAAGTGCTGAAGTTGAGAAACAACAGTCATAATAATTTTTAAATTATATCCTCGCCAAGTAGTAGTCTCTACGGTTAATCTTGGCTGTCCATCACACATCACCACAAATATAACCGACTACTCTGCACTACAGCCAGAGGTCAATTATGACTTGAATTAATAAAGTCTGTCTGTCTATGATGTATTTAATGGAAATACTCTCTTGATGCTCTCCCTCTTCCACACAAATGATTTAAATGTGACAAAATCTATCTTAAACATTTTGTTGTAATTTTGAAACTGGGGTATTGCGTGTGAAATTAGCTCCGTTATCGGTTATGAGTTCAATGTTAACATGCAAACATGTATGGTGATATGATATTTAATGCTCAACACAGCTGTGACATTACTCACTTGTCCTTTGTCCGTCCATCCATTGCAAATGCAGTCCCATAGATGTGCGATGTCATGGTGGGATGGAAGCGTTTGCGCCAATAATGATCCTATATTATCTTTGTGTTCGTCTACGGGGATTTCACGGAGGTGGTACTAGTCAAGGCCAGTCTCAATCAGAGCTTTCCCCTTACATTATGTGGACAAATACCCCATGCTTAAATTTGGAATATCTGCTAACATCACACATGGCAGTCAAGGTCCTTCAGCCACTGTATGGAAGAGTTCAGGTTGTTGTGTGCCACAACGACATGCTCCAGTGACCACCTTCCGGTACATGGAGCTGACCTGTACACGACCCTGTGATCCCGTAACAACAAACCAGCTGATATTACTTAAGCTTTATTGATTTATTGTGGTTGTCCAAATAGACCCATCTACCCTTCTTAACCCAGAACATGTTAGGTTAAATACACTACCTGACAATTCAGATCTTAAAGAATGGCCATAACAAAGCAATGGTATAGCAGGAAACGTCTCAAAGTGACATTAAACCTATCTCAGTCAATCATTTAACAACACACTTTCCATAATTACTCCCGGCCTGTGAAAATCCAGGGTAGAATTGATCTTCAGCAAACCATGCTTGTCTTAAGAGGCGAATAACGGGATCGGGTCGTCAGGCTCACTGACTTGGTTGACACACGTCATCGTATCCCAGTTGCGTAGATCGATGCTCATGAAGTTGATCACTGGATTGTCTGGCCCAGGCTCGATTGTGTACATACCGCCACCATATAGCTGGAATATTGTTGAGTGAGGAAAAACTAAACTCACTCACTCACTCACCCATAACTACGCCCCCTCAACTATTAATCTATGCAACTGTTATCACAACCTAACTGAATAAATACGCGGGACAAAGCTTTACTTCGAGATAACAGTAAGTTCCAAATAGACAGCTTGTCCCAGTTAATGTCCCACCACTTAGCATCTGCTTCTACATGATCTGGGGAAGCGGGGTAGCCTAGTGGTTAAAGCGTTCGAAGACCCGGGTTCGATTCCCCACATGGGTACAATGTGTGAAGCCAGAGTATATGGTCTCTGGTGAAGCCCATTTATGGTGTCCCACGCCGTGATATTGCTTGATTATTGCTAAAAGCGGTGTAAAGCCAAACTCACTAACTCACTCTACATGATCTACACATTGTTTTTCGTACCCAATCACTCAGCGGAAATAATACAGAATGGCATGTGTGTCCTCTAGTCGTCACTCGCTGTCCGGAAGTGAGAACGTGGTCTCGGTAGTCGCTGTCTTGTGTATGGCCTGACTCAATGCCTGAAACAATCAAATGAACGGGGCTCAACAACTGTACTCACTTCAACAAAATTAACATTGCACCTGTGAAATCACCACTTCATTTGAGATATACAGGCATATACGTATCCCGCATTGTTTGGTTTGGGGTAACTGTTTCTCCAAATACAAAGGTCAATCAGTAGGTCCACTGGGTGGTGATTCGATATGTATCATAGCAATGGCTATAGTTGGCGTCAGCTGACCAGCTAAGGGTCAAATCGCGACTAAGCCAAAGCATTCGTTATTTATCCCTAAGAGTTGTATCCAGGTCAGACTGTCACCTGTCAACTGTACGACAGACATCTGGTCAGCAGACAAAGTCATGCTTCAGTGGCCATTCGGTCATTCTCTTACTGTGATTCAGGGGCGGATACAGCTTTTTGAGAGGGGGTGGGGGTGTGCACACTATTGAGAAAAGGAGGGGGTGCACACTTCATTTCACACAAACTTTCAGCACAAAGATCCGCCTATGAGATTATCTGACAATTTGTTTTAGAAATAGAACCTACACAGTAATATGGATTTAGGGGTGGGAATGTGAAGGAAGGGGATGTAAGAGAACATTGTTCAGGGAAGGTTAAATACAAATAACTGGATTGTGACGCTTCTTGTGTCTTCGGTCCAGCTGAACTTTATGATAGAAAGGACAGACATGAACCCCTCAGTAGGCCTACCAAACATTCTGCTTTTTTCTACAGCTACTTGCTCACTTTAATAATATGGCCATTTGTAGAGCGCAGTAGTAACTCCACACCTCAAGGGCATGCTCTTTGCGCAACAGTAAAAATGTACACTATATACAGGAAGAAGTTTTATAAGATTTAGTTGTGGTTGAACAAGAATGTTTTGAGTCTTGATTTAAAGATGGAGATGGAAGGAGATGACTTGACATGGAGAGGTAGTGAGTTCCAGAGGGAAGCTGAGTAAACGCTGAAAGATCTGCCGCCAAAAGTTTGTAACTTGTATTTTGGGACACTTTCTGTCATGTCTGACGAAGCGTCATGACACAGTACATTGCACGATATTGGGAGGGAGTTTCTGACAATTAGGTATGGTTTCTGTCAATCAGGGCGTTTCGGGGTGTATAACTTGAATTGATGCGGAGAAGGGTTGTGAAGCAGACACGTGATGGGGGAAGGGCAATAATTTTAAGGGTCGACGTAGGCTTAAATGTATGTAACGTTATATTTTAGCACGCTTGTTACGTCCGGACATGTTTGCTCTGTGTTGAGTAGAATGTATTCTTACGTTTCACTGTAGCAGATCAATCAGCTTCAAACTTTTCATATTTTACCATCCTCTTTCTCGCAAAGTATACCGTGTATTTAATTAACGATTTGGCATCATGTTTTCAATGAGATGAGGCAGATCCCTTTAGGCAGGCTACAGTCATCTTATATACTCACCTCTCTTCTACACAGCGATGCCAAGATTGTGTTGCAGTAAGATGGCGTCTGTACCAGACCAATACCTTCAGGGTACTCGCCATCGAAATTGTAGCCCATGAACTGTAGAGACCTACATACACGTAACAGCATTAACCCTCCAAACCCTAGAGCATGGAGTAACCACTGTGTCAAGTTGGGATCATACCCGATGACCATCACGTCCAGCAAAGCCCACAGCCCGTGCCAGTAACACACAGCACTGAAGCACACCAGCAAAACACAGGCGTCCTCGAACACTATCTGAAGGAGTGGATGTGTCGTGTGTAGATGCCCGGCAAGCTTTCTGGCGGGAAACTGTGTGACGATCAGTGTAACTACCAGCACGTTACCGACACTGAAGACGATGATTCCCCGCCAGAGGTCGTTGTTGGGTGAAATGGAGAGTTGGAGAACCATCCACTGACCCCGCCAGACCAGCACCACCAGCGTCGACACCACAACCACACCGAAGAGGACGTCAATGACATACAGGACGCTGCCCTTCTGGAAGAGGGAATGGATTACTTGTTTATGCTCATGTTAATTAAGATATCTTCAAATTGAACGAAATTATATTTAAATGGCTCAACAAATTGTTCAACTGGAGGTACATACAAAGAAACCTTTAAATTATTGTGCAGAAATGTCATTTTTGCTTGTATGAATCATATGTTGTTTCACGGCATTCCGACATTTTAACACCTCCGCATCAACGATGAAAGGGGTAAATCTGCATTGTTTCATGCCGATATGTAGAGAGAATTGACCGAATTTGAACATCGGTTATATTCTTTCAGTGAGATGTACAGAGGGTACTATTTGCAATCACCGTCTTTTGAAATACAGTGGCGGTTCGGTAGCATAGTGGTTAAAGCGTTCGCACATGATACATAGGTGCAACGTATGGAGCCCCATTTCTGGTGTCCCCCGTCATGATATTGCTGGAGGTGAGGTGATGTGAAATTGGGTTTAACGTCGTGCTTGAGAATATTTCGCTCATATGACGACGTGCATGCGTGTGTATGTGTATGTGCGGCTGCTTGTACTAGCCCAGACTTAAGCTGGTTTTATAGTGCTAGCTCACTGAGATACCATGCCACTGTTAAGCATGAATACCCCACTCAGACACAGTATACTGACTCCGAGCCGACCAGTCCTTGTTGTACCCATTAATGCCGAGCGCCAGGCAGGGATCAACCCACGACCTTCCTCTCTCCGGGCGGACGCTCTAACCACTACACCGCGGAGGCGGTCTGATATTGCTGGAATATTGCTAAATACTCACTCACCAACTTAGATACATCAGATTACCTTCAAAAGACATTGCACACATTGTAACACAATAGAAACAAATGAACATGTACTGAAAAAACGTATACCAGTTCCTTAGCTTTGCCGTACCGTCTATGAACTTAGTTTGTATCGTCTTACCTTTGTCCCGAACAGATGAATGATGGTGAAATGGTTGTCGGTGTCAACGTCAAGAACCCAAGCTCCTGGTGGCGTCAAAACGTTCCTGTACGAACGAAGGGCAATCAGACCTACAGTACCGATACCTAGAATTGTCAGTGAGCCAGGTATTGTTATGCCGATGTACAGGTTGAGAAGTTCCCATATCCCTCGCCAGTTGCTCACCTGGCTAAATGACATGACGTAGGTAAAGAGGCGTGACACCAGGTAAAAGGACACGTACTTTTCTTTCTTGACATACTTGTTCAAAACGTCCTGTGTGAAAAATGACGCCACCATCAACACAATGCTTATTGCCACCGATATCCATCCGGACGCTATCTTGTTGCTTGGCAACAGATATAGTCCAATGAGGTTCCAGGTACTATTCCAGTAACATACAACCAATGGGCTGAAGATGAATACCACGAACAACGCATCCACAATGTGTTCTATAACGGTGGACACCATATTGAATACTGTTTTATAAAGACTGTTTCCTACAATAGGTCTAATCAGGTTGTTGTTCTGTATTCCTCCAACACGGTGTTGTCAACATCAGATCGTCGTACACGACTTCCATACTTGATACAGTTGCAGAGTGCAATCCAAATCTCGACACAACGAAGTTAAGCATCAATAAATTGTTGTATTATACGGATATGTAACATATTGATGTACACAGTTCCGACAGTGTATTGATGATATTATTGGATATCTAATGTAGCTGTTATTGCCGCTTTCCTTTGTTGATATTCATATATGCGTTACTTGCACTAATCACAGCTGTCGTCTGCTTGGCATTCAAGCTGGACAGGAGGACATTCTGATACAATGTTTCAACATGAACTGGGTAATTTTAACAACAGATTGGGCCTCTTTTTAAACATAAAACAATCGTCTTGTTTCTCATTCAGCATTGTCCTCGAACTACTTTTAGTTCATTTATGAATAAGCCCATGTTACCTAATGCGGCAAAACGCCTAAGGAGCTTAACGAAATAAATCGAAATCATACATAAAATCATACTAAAAACTGCTGCTATTCATACATATGCGCAACGAATGATACAATACAAATATTCTCGTCTCTAAAATGATTGGCATCTTATGTACAGGTTCATGGACCGGACGATGACACGGGGGAGAACTTATTGAGATGATCTTTATCTCTTGTTGTCAGTTTATCAGCAGATAGGAGTAGATGTGACTGCCCACACTAGTTCAGTGACTCACTGTTTCTGCTGTCCGGAGTTTATCTTTCATCATTCATATGAAGCTTTGCCGCAATGTGTTATTAGAAGATGACATACTTTCGTGACAAAATACTGTATCTGAAAAAGATAAATAATTGATTTTTCATTCAAGTGAAAGAATATCTTTAGTGTGTCTCATGGGAGAACTCCTTAAAGACCATGTTTAACTGCACACATGAAACAAACACGCATTTATGCACGAACAACCAGACGCATGGTCTGATCTTACATGCCTCAAAAACACAGTTTCAGCAGGCCCCTCATAGGTTATTAGTTCACTTGAACACTCCAGGCAATTCACTTTTATATATGACGATTGATATAGTAATTACTCTTCAAATATTTCATAACAATCAATAAACTCACAGAGAGATAATAAACTATAATAACATTATTTTCATAGTTTTAGAGATATAGAATACTTACGACGCTTATCACATAGCAGGGAAGCAGGTGATGTTCTGGCTTACCGACCTGTCTAGATGACAGCACTGGGATGGCTGACACACGCCAGTGTTCCAGATTATCAGCAGAAGTATCAGCCTATTGCCAGATAACAGTCAGATATGTTAGCATACGTGCGACGAACTATTAAGTATGTTTACCTAACTCTTCTTGCAGTGGTCTGATATTCGAACCTAATGCAGTTGAACACCTTTCTTGCAGTGACCTGATGTTCTGACCGATTTGTAGTTGAAGGCTTTTCAGCAGCGGCCTAATGATTAAATCAAATATAATTTAAGAAATCAAAGTCATCAAAATATCGCCTAAATGTACATGCCCATATCGTCAAGAACGCTGTCCGACTTTGCTAGTAGTTTGTTATGCAAATGGGACGGAATTGTGAACCACTCGTAGGAGCAATTCCCTTCAACTCTGAAATAATGCAATATCTACTGGTGCCAGATATATGTGACTGAATCAAGAGGTCGTATTGGTGGCAACCCTATTCTTACCATGCCAACTGGCACTTCAATCCTAGTCATCTAAGAAGCCACAATTCGCTGTACAATAAGAGATGGTCTGTCTCACAGTCCCTGAACCATATTATTTCATCTACAGCCAAGCCCTCCCTGCAATGCTAAAGGCCTACATGAAGCGAGTTTAGATATCCCCAGGTTCTCTTGTCTCCCTTGGGCTCCTTTTCAATTTAAATGGGTTATTTGTTACAATCAAAATTATATATATATCTTCAGAGACTAAGCGTTAGTCTAAATAGGAGCACGTGACACGATTCATTAGCAGGGGTGCTATGATATAACTGATGTAACTGAAAACATCTCAAACCAAATTCATTTGCTCATTTACGATGTTTGATTCGTCGAGTTACGTTTTCTATATCCATGGCGGTATTACTACAAATCAGGCAGCAGGTGTAGGATCCCGTGTTAATATTGGTGATGAACTGGTTTATTTGTTGGTTACTCATGCACACTACAATTTGCATGTCTTTGCACAGTGAGTACTTTTGTATCAAATTGCATGCATAATGGATCTGTTCAGCGGGTCAGTAAACCGCTCTCTTGCTGCATAACCTTTACAAACTTATTTTTTTAAGGAATACGGAAACAATAAAAGAAAATCTCAATAATAATCCTGGAGGTGAGTAAAGAACATTTTACAGACGTTTCTCTTGTGCTTCGTCAATATGTCAAGATTGTGTTGCAGTAAGGTGGCGCCTGTACCATGCCAATGCCTTCAGGGAACTCGTCATCGTAACTATGGCACATGAGCTGTAGAAACCAATATACACGTAAGAGCATTAACACTCCAAACCCTAGAGCATGGAGTCAAGCTCGGACATAACTTTGCGCTATTGAACAATATAATATATTTCGCAATGTTGTCCACATATTCTTGTCTTGACAAATGCATAAAAATATTTCTTCGTCAGCCAATCAAATGCTTTGGAATCACATCCAAGTTAATTATGATTATGAAGTCAATATAGCGATAACTTAAATAGGCCTACGTCTATTTCGTTTCAGGTCATACGCCAAAACTGATATCCATAATCGGTGAGCGAGTGAGTGAATTTAGTTTTACGCCACACTCAGCAATAGTCCAGCTATATGGCGGCGGTCTGTGAATAATCGAATCTGGACCAGACAATCCAGTCATCAACAGCATGAGCATCGATCTGCGCAATTGGGAACCGATGACATGTGTCAACCAAGTCAGCGAGCCTGACCACCCTGAAATAGTTACGTAGATAATTAATTTTCCAAAATATATACCCACCCACCCCACCCCAAAATAATTCGCTCCATTGATATTTACGAATATACACTCAGGGACAAAAATTGAAGCGTAGACAAATCAAGGGGACCTAACTTATTTCCGCTTCCTGAACGATTTGGCGTCAAGGCTCCAAGATGGCAGCTTTGGGGATATTGCTACGAAAAGCTGGACCTAAAGCCGCGTCGCTTTTGCAAAAAACAGCTTTCCGAAATGGAGCACCTCTCTATTTCGCAAGGTAAACCCATGCATGCAACAACAATACACATGTGTAAAAAATATACAGCTGACTTTCTCCCTGGGCAACGTTTGACCTTTTATGAAACTTCAAGTTCATCGTTTTCCAATATGCGTATTTCCATGCACGTTACTGAATACTGGCCAAAGCTTACGACAGTTGTTTACGTATTTTATCACAGTGAGGTGGATCATCATTTTTGGGAATTCCATCAGTATGATTAATGGTCGTCAGAGCTGCAACTCGGTGTGCTCTTCCCTTTTTACATAACCAGATGATACTCACATTGGTTACATTAAATTAAATTAAATCCAGGACAGATTTCCGCAAATATACCTCCTCCAAAAGCGGATAGTTTATTTGTTGCTTGTCGTTTTCTTGCTTGTCACAAGAACAACTGTAAAACGTCTCACTATCTTTTGAAAGAAAACTAAAACAAGCGATCATCCAAGTATTTACAGAACCGCTTGATTCGTGGATCGCTGTAATTATCATGCTGTTTTGTAAATTAAGCCTTGTATGACGTCCTGAAACGGTACTTTTATGTACACACACTGCCACGCCTCGCTGACAAAAATGTTCCAAATCTCTGCATTACATGTATATACACTAAATCGAATTGTCCCAAAACACTAATGCCACTAATACCAAATTTGATTTTTACAAAATGTTAAGTAAAAAAAGATACCGTTAGCAACGCCCTTCTCACATCTCACGCCTGCTTTCCTAGGTGTCAGTATTAACTGCCATTGGTTGTCGTACATAGTGATATATTGTAACCGACTTAGTGCGCACACAAATTGGTGATGATTGTAAATGACTTCGGTAAACAAATGTTTCATTCACGAGTGGAATATTAGGCATTTTCAATTAGCTGAATCAATGAATAAAATAATCAGTGGGTATACAAAATGAAATCTTGCATTTAAAATATGATTTTTGCCGCACTTCCCTTATATCCACGAATCAAGGTTAAGCGAGTGTTCAATGTCTGTGTGACTGGAACAAGTGTGCCATTGGAAACGTCCAACATGTGGTACAATATGGGGTCTTATGTTTTGGTCAATACAGCGAACAGCTGTCATGTCGTTTCCTCCTTCTGGATCGAGATTCTGGAACACTATGGGGACAACTCTGGTTCAGACCAATTGCACCCACACCATGATGCATGGACCACCCCACGAGTCTCTTTCACACTAATTGGAAAACCATTCCCCATGCCTTCGCCATACTCTCACCCTGCCATGGGCTGTCAAACACAATATCAGCTTTCATCAGATAAAAAGTACAGTTCTCAATTGCCCATTGCAGTCGGTTTTGGCATTGACGATTGGTGAGGATAGGACCACGGTATGGCTTGTGACAGCAGAGATTTCTTCCGTGCAAAAGTCGAGGCACTATATCAGCATTAATGGGTCTGTTGTGAGTCCCAATGGTCTGGCGTGTCATTTCCGTCACTCTGGTGATGTGATCTTGCAGATGGTGGCGCACAGTCTAGATCTGTCGCTCTTGACGTTGTGATGTTGCTGAAGGTCGTCCACTGTGTGGATGGTCTTGGATGCTGTTAGTGACCTGATACCACTCCTGCAGTCGGTAGATTGTCCTAACATGAACATTAACATGATTGGCTACCCTCCATGCAGTATGGCCAACTTGCAGTTGTCCCAAGGGTTGGTTCCTCTGATTTCTCTTAAGTTGTGGCATGGTGATTGTGTCAAAACAAGAATAATTTCAGGCGAGTTTGGGACTCGCTTTCATTGGTGGGGTTGTCACAATACGCACATGCATTATCATTTTCTCATATGTCACATGGAACCTTTTACCACGTCTGCCTTTTCAGGTATGCATTTTCATCAGAAAACACACTGATGTTGGCAAGAACTGTCAATTTGGATTGAAAACCATGTTAACAAAACGGTACAATCATGATAAAAACACCATCTTGTAAGAACAAAATTTTGCTTTTGGTTTTTAAAGGATGATGTTTCTTCTGCAGTTCAGTATAGAACACAGTGTTGCACTTTACTGGGGGCTTTGGTTTGGATTTAGATTAGCACAATAAAGACTGAACTCTGGTTGCCATCTTGTATCTAATCAACATGCTACAACAGGACCACAAGCACTATCTTACCAATGATTATTTATTTTAATAAGTCATGAGCACTCAAATATTTACCACCACCCCAAAATCATATTTAATGACGTACTATCAACTTAATTTACAATTCTATTACCCTTTCTGAAAATGAACTATATGTAATTTAAAAAAAATTCTATTCTGTATTTTCACTTGCAACTTTGAGTGTTGGAGAGGGAAAACTTCAGATTTTAAGTATAGAGATTCAGTTATCAAGGGTATCATCACAGGATATAATAAATAATGGACATGGTGTGATGACATTAAAATATCTGTCTATATACATTTTTTTACAGCAATTGTGGTTTCTTTTGTCATTATCGTTACTGTATGAATAACATTCATAATGTATATCATCACTTGTCCATTAAATGTTCACTGTTTTTATGGACATTGTTTACATGAAGTAAACAAGTTCCAAACCACTTCTGTTCTGTGTAAAGTTTTCAACTGATGATCACTAGAAATCATCTAACCACCATCACTATATTACATCGTCAACAGTATTCTGTGGAATGTTTTACATAAGCAAATCTAGATTAATAGAATAATATATAATATATCTTGATATAGGAATTCAATTACAATGACAAGTATATGATGTTAATGTGAAGAGGTGAATGGATCTCTCAAAATTCCAGTTTGAGAATTAGCTGCTGTCATGGGGCAGGTCATTGTATGTATGTTTTCTGTTTCTTAGCAAAGGAGCCAAGACATGGATACCTGACAAAGATTACTTCGACCAGTTCAACAGCCCTTGCATGTATCCTGACAGCCTCACCTCCAACTGGAAACTCCCAGCTGTAAATGGTATGTTGAGTTCATTTATTGCTGAATGAAAGTGCAAAATATCCGAGCACTGCCAAGTTATTCAAATATTATGCATGATATCAGAATCTTGATTTCATTTGGTTGTGAAAATGTAAAGAACTGAATGAAACACTGTTGATTATTGTGGGCTAGCAACTACTGATTCATATATCATGAGAGTTTAATTAATGATCTTCTGGAATATTTTATTCCCATGATGGTGGACCAGAAACTTTTTGTGTAATGGTCCCTAAATCATGTTGTGTTAAGTCATTGACAACTTCCAAAGATTTTTACTTGTTTTCTGAAAAAGTTTGTCAGTAAAAAAAATTCATTTTTTGCCATTAGATATAGACATGTGAGAAATGTTTTAAACAGGCACCAGTACATAGTAGGTAGGCCTAGCTTGGGTTCCTGGTGGTATTTCTTGTTATGAATGAAGAGCTGTGATTGTCTTTCACTAGTGATGGATTTCTATTTTGGTAACTTGTCCTGCTTGTGTTATCCAGCTTTTGCTCACTGACAACTAATGAGATGTGATTATCATTCATTTGTGCAGAAAAATCCGAGGTTCATGAGAAGCAGGTACAGAACTTGACACTGAACTTTGGACCTCAGCACCCAGCAGCTCACGGTGTGCTACGACTAGTGCTGACACTTGATGGGGAGGTGAGTAACTCATGGTGTGTTATGACTTGTGATGACCGTAGTGTGAGTGAGTTGAGTTTTACACCACACTCGGCAATATTCCAGCTATATAGCGGCAGTCTGTAAATAATCGAGTCTGGACCAGACAATCCAGTGATCAACAGCATGAGCATCGATCTGCTCAACTGGGAACCGATGACATGTGTCAACCAAGGGGGCGAGCCTGACCACCCAATCCTGTTAGTTGCCTCTTACGACAAGCATGGGTTACTGAAGGCCAATATTCTAACCGGGACCTTCACGAGTTGATGACCGTAGATGGGAGGTGAGTAACTCACGGTGTATTATGACTTGTGATGATTGTAGATGGGAGGCTAGTAACTCATGGTGTATTATGACTTGTGATGACCGTAAATGGGAGGCTAGTCGTAGTGTATTATGACTTGTGATGGCCGTAGATGGGGATGTGGGGCCCACACAGTGTGTTGACCCTAGACGTTAATATGGGTCAAGTTCCAAGATTGTAAATAACCATCACATAGTCGTGCATGTCTGTGTCTGTGAGCAAGGTGATAGTTTTATTCCATGTATCAGTGGGTAAGCAAAGATATGTGTCCTCCAGTAGTTGAACATTCTATACTAAGCAGCAAAAGAAACATCAGTTTGGAATTTTCCTTCGCAGAAACGGGATAACTCATCTAATGTTTTGATTGTACATTTTTCACAACATCTCCAACTTTACCTGAGCAATGACATTCCTTCCCAAACTTAGAATGGAACCCTGGAAATGGTCTCAAAAACGCAACCTGATCTCTGAGATGGTACAGTGTTCTCCATGTTTATCATGCAACTCATGCTGCACGTGCTGTTCACAAGGATGCCCCTTCTCACGACAGCTCAGATGAACCAGGCGCTAGGAAGACTTGAAGCTGGCCACACTTCACAAGCCGTTGCGAATCACTTACAGGTCAACGTTCGGACCATCTACAGGCTGCAGCAACGTTTCCGGGCCACCAACACCACAAATGGTCTCCCCCGTACTGGCAGACCAAGGGTGACCACAAGACGACAAGACCGCCATGTTGTGCGACAGCATGTACAGAATCCCTTCATGCAGGCATCCGAAACAGCATGCCAGACAGTGGGAACACACGGAAGACCAATCAGTACTGATACAGTACGCCGACATCTTAACAGCGGGAACTTCAGTTGCCGTAGACCTTACCATGGACCTATCCACACCCTTGTCATTGGCGTGAGCGTCTACAGTTTGCCCTACACCACCAAAACTGGCGATACAGGCAATGGAGAACTGTTCTGTTCACAGATGAGAGTTGGTACTGCGTATCAACTGCAGATGGCAGAACAAGAATATGGCGATGACGTGGCCAGTGTTACTCAGACCAATGTTTTATGGAAAGAGACTCATGGGGAGGTGCAAGCATCATGGTATGGGGTGGAATGGGCCTGAACTAGAGAGTGGGTCTGGTGGTGTTCCAGAACCTTGGTCCAGGGAGAGGGCACTACATCGACCAAGCACTCAGACCCCACATCATACCACATTTCGCACGTCACCAGAACAACATGTTCCAGCATGATAACGCCCTGGCCCATACTGCTAGAGCTACACAGGACTTCCTACAGCAGAACGGTGTCAACATTATGCAGTGGCCAGCCCTTGGTCCTGATTTAAACCCAATTTAACATCTTTGGGATGAATTTCAGAGGAGACTGAATAATGTCGTACCAAGGCCGAACAGATGATTTAGTGCACCAGGACTTTCTCAGAGTGTGGTTCCAGGCCAATGCCAATGGCCTTCATCAATCGATTGGTGCACTCCATGCATAGACGCTGTGCTGTGGTTATTGTCGCTTGTGGTGGTCACACTAGATACTGAAGGATCTGAATGGACTGCAAATGTTCACGTAATGTCTTGAAATTGTGCTGAGTTATTCATTGATGTGTCAAAATATTGTACACAAAAAATGTTTTTGATCAGCTTATTATTTCTGTAGCTGTAATGATTTGATTACAGTGCCTATCTAATTTTGAATTTGTACTGACGTTTTTTTACTGCTGAGTATAGTAGTAGTACTTGAGGTATTTAAGTGAGAAGAGAGAAAATGATGACTAATGCATGTTTCTTCTTTTACTTAGACGGTGGTTCGAGCAGATCCCCACATCGGCCTGCTGCACAGGGGAACAGAGAAGCTGATCGAGTACAAGACCTATCTACAGGTAGACTCATCAATAAAATATGTCTTAGTTGTGCCATTTCCTGTCCAGAGTTGTATCCCTTGTCTTAGTTGTGCCATTTCCTGTCCAGAGTTGTATCCCTTGTCTTAGTTGTGCCATTTCCTGTCCAGAGTTGTGTCCCTTGTCTTAGTGGCGCCATTTCCTGTCCAGAGTTGTATCCTTGTCTTAGTTGTGCCATTTCCTGTCCAGAGTTGTGTCCCTTGTCTTAGTGGCGCCATTTCCTGTCCAGAGTTGTGTCCCTTGTCTTAGTGGCGCCATTTCCTGTCCAGAGTTGTATCCCCTGTCTTAGTTGTGCCATTTCCTGTCCAGAGTTGTGTCCCTTGTCTTAGTGGCGCCATTTCCTGTCCAGAGTTGTGTCCCTTGTCTTAGTGGCGCCATTTCCTGTCCAGAGTTGTGTCCCTTGTCTTAGTGGCGCCATTTCCTGTCCAGAGTTGTATCCCTTGTCTTAGTTGTGCCATTTCCTGTCCAGAGTTGTATCCCTTGTCTTAGTGGCACCATTTCCTGTCCAGAGTTGTGTCCCTTGTCTTAGTGGCGCCATTTCCTGTCCAGAGTTGTATCCTTGTCTTAGTTGTGCCATTCACTGTCCAGAGTTGTATTCCTTGTCTTAGTTGTGTCATTTACTGTGCTGAGTTATGTCCCTTTGCCTTGCCAGAGTCCGATAATTCTGGTTGTCATGGTTTTCATTTTTGTCAAGACCAGTGCTTCGTGGGTTTCCCTGTGAAGTGTCAAACGTTCAACATCAGATCCCTTCTGGCCTTACACGTAAAGCTGACACAGGGTGATAAAACTGAAAAATAAAATATTCACAGCTCCCGCACTCAACAAATGCTTTGATTTATTGATTCTGTAAGAATTCTGTAAGAATTTGTGTAAACATGGTAAATGGACAGTACACCACTAAATCAATAGGACCGTTAAAGATGCTGTCTATGGGCCTAAAATGTACATATTTGGTTGCCCTTGTTTTCGTCCTCGGCAATATTACAGCTTTACGACAGGGGTCAGTAAAAATTAATTGAGTCATTACCAAACAATCATCTTGTGTTGGTCAAATACTAACACCTCTGTGAAGCTTAAATTTGGTTGGGGTGGGAAAAATGTTAATACTGTTTTTGCTACTATGTATATATATTTGCTTCTGATGAGATGTGTTTTATGTGCTCTTTTCACAGAGGGTGTTTTTTTTTAGAGAAAAATGGTGTGCAGTATACGCATGAAATATGTGGTATATAGGTTCACGAGAGGTGTTGATGGACAATATGATGGTCCTGGCGACTTGTTGTTACACGGGGTCGACTATGACGTGGGCGGTCATCAGTGCTGTTGGTGGCGTTGTATCGGTGTCTTAAACGTTCTATCGTTTGTATGCTGCAATTGAAGTCATTAGCAATCACTCAAGCACATTGACCAGCCTCCAGACGTCCATTGGCTTGTCGGTGATCTCTCGTTAACCTAGCCATAGCTGCTGTGTCCAGAACACAGGCGAATAAATGCCATTCAAGACGGCAATTTATTCCTGAATGCATGCATGATGCGCGTGCATTTCGATTTCTATGTTGTGTTTTGTTCCCTTTCAACAAACAAACATTTGTAACCTCAATCTCAAACAATAGTTTTGGGGAGCAAAACAGGCTATACTACAACGATTCATTGTTTCCTCAAACTTGACTTTCAGTGTATATTTTAAATAAAAGGTTTAAATACTCCATTGATACTTAAAATGTCATTTCAAATATTACGACGTTTCTTTTGCCTTTCAGTAAATTATTAAATACACTCTTGATTGTATTCTTTTATTGATATATGATTGTCAAACGATAACTGAAGCCATTTATTGGGTCAAACCATGCACTTAACCATAATCACTTAAACATGAGCATTGGTGACAAACAGTGACTCGGGCATTTAAACATTTTATTACCTACGAGGGCGAACATATCAGGGTTCATATTTTTCATACGATGCCCTAGGGCAAAATATCACTTTGTCATGGTGACGTGACGTCATGAACAATGCTATGACGTCACGTTTCTTCTGTGACGTTGCGTTCTACATGTGGCGATGGCTGGTTGCAAGCCTATGTTTGAAAGTAGATTTGGGTTTTTTTCCCTCAATTTTACAACTTCGGTAATAAACAGAATATTATTCTTGTGCCCATGACATACTATGTTTACGACACTCGTGCCTAAATATCGGTATATCCCTCACTCTCGCTCGGGAAATACCAAAATTTAGGCACTCGTGTCATAAACATAGTATGACATGGGCGCTCATATAATATCCTCTATGTAATCATGATGCCAAGGTCTCTCTTTGTGACTACAGCATTTCTGCAATATTCTATCTTTTTAGTTAAGCATATATTTGTTTAGGCTCTTCCGTATTTTGACCGGCTGGACTATGTGTCGATGATGTGTAACGAGCAGTGTTACTCCCTGGCAGTGGAGAAACTCCTCAACATTGAGGTGCCAGAGAGAGCCAAGTGGATCAGAAGTAAGTCACACAACACCAGACTAAAGATCACACATCCATTGTCATGGTTGTACATCCATTCAAATCCAAGACCTCAAAACTAAGTTGAGTGGAATAAAGATGGTGATTTGATCAGGATGAAGTACTGGTTTGCAGCCACCATGACCATGTGACTGTTTCATTTAGGCCTGGTAGGTATTCTCTCGTTATATGTGTCGATGGATTGATTGATAATGAGTGTGTACATTTCCTGGATTATGTTTAACTTTGATTTTCAAGACTATCATTTGGGGATCATCTGACAAAAGGTATGCTAATTGACAGTCTATTTAACTGGAGTCGAGCTGTCTGTTCCAGAATGGAGCCCAGTTTGTGAGTAGGAAGTGTCATGTGTCAAATGGTCAGCATTAGTGAGAGTATGTGGAAATCTCTCGGTCTTTGTCTTGTATTACCCTTGTGGGGTAAATTTGTCTATAGATTATTCCTTGCTGTTTCAGCTTTATTTGGTGAGATCACCCGTCTGCTGAATCACATGATGGCTATAGGGACCCATGCCCTTGATGTGGGAGCCATGACACCCTTCTTCTGGCTGTTTGAGGAAAGAGAGAAGGTAAACTAGACTAGTTCTCCTGTGTTTAGTGTTACAGTTGAATATCTGTGTCCATGTTGCACACTTTACCTGCAGTTGAAATTTTGTTAAAAGTGCTTTCATTTTCATCATTATTCTGAATTATATTTGGGTCATAATAACATGGCAGTCTCAAGTTTTGTTATTTATTTTATTTTATTAGTATTTTGCTGAACTCCACTGTGAGCTTATTACATCATGTAGGTCAGCATTTTTCAAGATTTTCCCATACATGTTGATTATTATCCCTTGCCACACGTTTAGCGCGAAGCGGGGGATATAGTATAAGGCTCTGTCCGTCCGTACGGATTGGAATATCTTAAGAACCGTTCACTAGATTCTGTTCATATTTGGTACCTAGGTTCATCACAGTATAAGAAAGATCCAAATCAGGTTTGATGACCTTGACCTTCATTTCAAGGTCACAAGGGGACTTTAACGTTTTACCTGCATGTTAAGCTATCTCAAGAACCGTTCTCTGGATTTTCTTCATATTCAAAACCAAGCTTTATCTAGGGACAGTGCAGGACCCAGTCGATTTTGGTGACCTTCACTTAATTTTCAAGGTCCAGCACAGAGAGACTTTGAAGATTTCAGTATGTTAAATTGCATGTTAAGATAGTCAGCAAGATATCGCAAAAAATATTCTCTGGATTTTCTTCATATTTGACACCAAGCTTCATCTGGGGGAAGGCCCAGGGGCCAGTCAATTTTGGTGACTTCACATAATTTTTAGGGTCACGACGACACTTTGAATATTTCAGCATGTTAACCTGAATTGTCAGCAAGATATTTTAAGAACGGTTCTCTGGATTTTCTTCATAGACTTTCAAGACATCCCTTGAATGTTTTTCAATAAGCAATTTCTTTAGTAATTTTGCATATTTCATACACTATGACATTCATGTCAAGCTCAAAGTCAGTCTTGTAAATATGTGTGTGTTTGAACAACTAAAGAGCCAGATATCAAGAGAGGTTGACTGGTCATGATTTTGTTGACATTTAACGTCATCTTAAACTTTCATTACTTTTAATATAAGTTTGATTTGATAATTTGCGGCTGGGCATTATGTCTCCTTAGTGACAATGCTTGTCTAATATACTTTAGGCAGGATATCAGAACTCTGATTATTTTAGCCAGACACTAACTGTGCCAACATAGACTCAAACCAGGGACAGTTCTTGGAGTGGTGAAGTGCACAACATGTTCAGTTCAAAGCAAAATATATTGCCATCAGTCATGCTGATTGTCATACCTAATATGTTGTTTGTAATTGCTCGTTTATCATTACTTTATACCCAGTTGCCCTAGATATTCCTAATTGCCTCAGTTAAGGGTGGGCATGTCTATGATATGCTATGTGAACGCAGATAGGAAGCACAACTAATACAAGGATGACAGTGTGTTACAACCAAGCATGTATGCCCTGTAAACCAGCAGCAAACTGTATTAGTAATACTCTCAGTTTGTTAGTTCAGAAACAGCTTTGTTTCTACAGGCCTTCTGTTGTCAATGTGATGTCAATATTTCTTATAGCTGATGGAGTTTTACGAGCGAGTATCAGGAGCCCGTATGCACGCTGCGTACGTCCGACCAGGAGGTGTATCGTTGGTGAGTCTCTTCAGTTGTCAGTAGGTGGCTTGTCATACTTTGCCTGGATACAACAAATCAATGAACCCAATTTGGAAATCACTGTTTATTGCAGTAGTCTCACATAATGGCTTTGATAAGAGAGAAAGAGAGAGAGAGAGAGAGAGAGTTGTATCCTGTGCCCATATTATTATATTATTCTTCGCACCCTCGTAACTCCACTCGTGTAAGCATGGTTGTCATGGCTTCTGACACGAAATGACCGTGGAGTATCTGCCTTCCGTGATTCAACGTCCTGATATGAATTAATCAAATTGTAACTTCGCAGTAAGACAAAACGAGCTTCAGACAGGAATCTTATGCATCTGTCAATCTATCACGTATAACTGCATCAAATGACCCGATTGACCTACATGTAATACCGACTGAATACCAAGAGAGAATCATGATGGTTTTAAGAGGGGTTATAGGGGTGGGGGGGTCATTAATTTTGTACATAAAAGTATTTTATGCATTTTATAATTATGCATAACAAACATGGGAAGGCTGATTTTGTACATGACATGCAGGGCGTGTGTGTGTTTTTTTTTTGGGGGGGGGGGCACTTACTTTGTACATACGTTTTAGGGGGGTGTCATTCACACGGTCATAGGCGAATCTAGATCTAGAAGAGGGGTGCACCCCTCCTTACTTTGCATTCATTGCTGTATTGAAAATTTATGTATTAAAGCATTTTCCTTTCTAAATTCTAATAGTCCTGTTAGTTGCATGTTCAGCAAGTCACAGGTAACTTAAATATAGAAATGTTTAATTCTATTTGGTAGGACTTTTCTAACACATGCTGTAAACCTAGGGTCACATATCATCCTCTGAGAATGTCTAGACAATTCTGTGGACTTTTTCAGTATTAATTCATTCTATTAATAGAATCAATAGTGCACAGGTATTTAGCTTTCACTCCAGTAGCAAAGAATTGTGGTGTCAGTGGTGATGTTAACACTCACTGACTATTCTTTTTTAATGGCTTGTCCTAATTTAAAGTCAGTATTACCTACTCAACATTTTGGCCAGTCTGTAAACTGAATTTCTCCAGGACATGCCACTGGGACTGATGGATGACATCTTTGAGTTCATTGAGAAGTTTGGGCAGCGGATTGATGAGGTGGATGACCTACTGACATTGAACAGGATCTGGAAGGCCCGCACTGTCGACATAGGGATCATTTCTGCTGAAGATGCCCTCAATTATGGATTCAGGCAAGTACTAATGTGTTAGTGAGTGAATTTTGATCTATGCCACAGTTGACAATGCTGCTCCTTCATCCAATGTCTGTAAATCACTTTTTAAACAAGCATACAGGAGTGAGTGTGTTTTTTACACCGCTTTTAGCAATATTCCAGCAATATCAGGGCGGGGGACACCAGAAATGGGCTTCACACATTGTATCCATGTTGGGAATCGAATCTGGATCTTCGGCGTGACGAGCGAACGTTTTAACCACTACCCCACCGCCCCCAAACAAACATAAAAGGAACTGAACACATCAGGCTTGATGGAGTCAGTCAGCCAAGTCATGAGTCTTAATCTTACCTGTACTGGTGGAGGTTTTGGAGAGATTGTACGCTTGGACCTCACCTAGTACCGGTTACTAGCACCTTTGCTGCAATATCTTCACAAAAGTAGAAGAAAACAGAAATTCTGCTACATTATTGAAGAAGCAAGATCATTATATAGGCAAGTGATATATATTCAGGCCTATGAGAAGTATTCACCAGAAGGAGTACATTTGTATCGACATAAGATTGCTGCACATGCTCTCCATGCACTATCTAGCTTTAAGAATGTATGCTGCATCACTTCATATTCTTTTTGTTTTGAATGATGATCAAATCAAACTTTCAATCATCATCTGTGTATTATGTTAACTCTCTATCTGCTGCTTCCCAATTGCGCAAATCGATGCTCATGCTGTTGATCACTGGATTGTCTGGTCCAGACTCGATTATTTACAGACCGCCGCCATAAAGCTGGAATATTGCTGATAGCGGCGTAAAACTAAACTCACTCACTCACTCTATCTGCTGCTTAGTAATACTATGTAGCACGGAGAGTCATCTGTGCAAGAACAGAATTACCATAGTAATCACTGATAATACTGCAAAAATGTTTAAGTAAGTTTTGTCGTTGTTGTATAATGTGTATGTATGTATGTCCTTGCACTGGTATATCATGTACAGAGTGTATGTATGTTGTTACAGTGGTATATCATGTACAGAGTGTATGTATGTCGTTGCAGTGGTATATCATGTACAGCGTGTATGTATGTCGTTTCAGTGGTATATCATATACAGAGTGTATGTGAGTCGTTTCAGTGGTATATCATATACAGAGTGTATGTGAGTCGTTGCAGTGGTATATCATGTACAGAGTGTATGTATGTCGTTGCACTGGTATATCATATACAGAGTATGTATGTAGTTGTACTGGTATATCATGTACAGAGTGTATATATGTCGTTGCAGTGGTATATCATGTACAGAGTGTTTGTATGTTGTTGCAGTGGTATATCATGTACAGAGTGTATGTATGTCGTTGCACTGGTATATCATATACAGAGTGTATATATGTCGTTGCAGTGGTATATCATGTACAGAGTGTATGTATGTTGTTACAGTGGTATATCATGTACAGAGTGTATGTATGTCGTTTCAGTGGTATATCATATACAGAGTGTATGTGAGTCGTTGCACTGGTATATCATGTACAGAGTGTATGTATGTCGTTGCACTGGTATATCATGTACAGAGTGTATGTATGTCGTTGTACTGGTATATCATGTACAGAGTGTATATATGTCGTTGCAGTGGTATATCATGTACAGAGTGTATGTATGTTGTTACAGTGGTATATCATGTACAGAGTGTATGTATGTCGTTTCAGTGGTATATCATATACAGAGTGTATGTGAGTCGTTGCACTGGTATATCATGTACAGAGTGTATGTATGTCGTTGCACTGGTATATCATGTACAGAGTGTATGTATGTCGTTGTACTGGTATATCATGTACAGAGTGTATATATGTCGTTGCAGTGGTATATCATGTACAGAGTGTATGTATGTTGTTACAGTGGTATATCATGTACAGAGTGTATGTATGTCGTTTCAGTGGTATATCATATACAGAGTGTATGTGAGTCGTTGCAGTGGTATATCATGTACAGAGTGTATGTATGTCGTTGCACTGGTATATCATGTACAGAGTGTATGTATGTCGTTTCAGTGGTATATCATATACAGAGTGTATGTGAGTCGTTGCACTGGTATATCATGTACAGAGTGTATGTATGTCGTTGCACTGGTATATCATGTACAGAGTGTATGTATGTTGTTGCAGTGGTATATCATACAGAGTGTATGTATGTTGTTGCAGTGGTATATCATGTACAGAATGTATGTATGTCGTTGCAGTGGTATATCATGTACAGCGTGTATGTATGTCGTTGCAGTGGTATATCATGTACAGAGTGTATGTATGTTGTTGGAGTGGTATATCATGTACAGAGTGTATGTATGTTGTTGCAGTGGTATATCATGTACAGAATGTATGTATGTCGTTGCAGTGGTATATCATGTACAGCGTGTATGTATGTCGTTGCAGTGGTATATCATGTACAGAGTGTATGTATGTTGTTACAGTGGTATATCATGTACAGAGTGTATGTATATGTCGCTTCAGTGGTATATCATGTACAGAGTGTATGTGAGTCGTTGCACTGGTATATCATGTACAGAGTGTATGTATGTCGTTGCACTGGTATATCATGTACAGAGTGTATGTGAGTCGTTGCACTGGTATATCATATACAGAGTGTATGTGAGTCGTTGCACTGGTATATCATGTACAGAGTGTATGTATGTCGTTGCAGTGGTATATCATGTACAGAGTGTATGTATGTTGTTGCAGTGGTATATCATACAGAGTGTATGTATGTTGTTGCAGTGGTATATCATGTACAGAGTGTATGTATGTTGTTGAAGTCGTATATCATGTACAGAGTGTATGTAAGTCGTTGCAGTGGTATATCATGTACAGAGTGTATGTATGTTGTTGGCGTGGTATATCATGTACAGAGTGTATGTAAGTCGTTGCAGTGGTATATCATGTACAGAGTGTATGTATGTTGTTGCAGTGGTATATCATACAGAGTGTATGTATGTTGTTGCAGTGGTATATCATGTACAGAATGTATGTATGTTGTTGAAGTCAGTGGTATATCATGTACAGAGTGTATGTAAGTCGTTGCAGTGGTATATCATGTACAGAGTGTATGTATGTTGTTGGAGTGGTATATCATGTACAGAGTGTATGTATGTTGTTACAGTGGTATATCATGTACAGAGTGTATGTATGTCGTTTCAGTGGTATATCATATACAGAGTGTATGTGAGTCGTTGCACTGGTATATCATGTACAGAGTGTATGTATGTCGTTGCACTGGTATATCATGTACAGAGTGTATGTATGTTGTTGCAGTGGTATATCATACAGAGTGTATGTATGTTGTTGCAGTGGTATATCATGTACAGAATGTATGTATGTCGTTGCAGTGGTATATCATGTACAGCGTGTATGTATGTCGTTGCAGTGGTATATCATGTACAGAGTGTATGTATGTTGTTGGAGTGGTATATCATGTACAGAGTGTATGTATGTTGTTGCAGTGGTATATCATGTACAGAATGTATGTATGTCGTTGCAGTGGTATATCATGTACAGCGTGTATGTATGTCGTTGCAGTGGTATATCATGTACAGAGTGTATGTATGTTGTTACAGTGGTATATCATGTACAGAGTGTATGTATGTCGTTTCAGTGGTATATCATGTACAGAGTGTATGTGAGTCGTTGCACTGGTATATCATGTACAGAGTGTATGTATGTCGTTGCACTGGTATATCATGTACAGAGTGTATGTGAGTCGTTGCACTGGTATATCATATACAGAGTGTATGTGAGTCGTTGCACTGGTATATCATGTACAGAGTGTATGTATGTCGTTGCAGTGGTATATCATGTACAGAGTGTATGTATGTTGTTGCAGTGGTATATCATACAGAGTGTATGTATGTTGTTGCAGTGGTATATCATGTACAGAGTGTATGTATGTTGTTGAAGTCGTATATCATGTACAGAGTGTATGTAAGTCGTTGCAGTGGTATATCATGTACAGAGTGTATGTATGTTGTTGGCGTGGTATATCATGTACAGAGTGTATGTAAGTCGTTGCAGTGGTATATCATGTACAGAGTGTATGTATGTTGTTGCAGTGGTATATCATACAGAGTGTATGTATGTTGTTGCAGTGGTATATCATGTACAGAATGTATGTATGTTGTTGAAGTCGTATATCATGTACAGAGTGTATGTAAGTCGTTGCAGTGGTATATCATGTACAGAGTGTATGTATGTTGTTGGAGTGGTATATCATGTACAGAGTGTATGTATGTTGTTACAGTGGTATATCATGTACAGAGTGTATGTATGTCGTTTCAGTGGTATATCATATACAGAGTGTATGTGAGTCGTTGCACTGGTATATCATGTACAGAGTGTATGTATGTCGTTGCACTGGTATATCATGTACAGAGTGTATGTATGTTGTTGCAGTGGTATATCATACAGAGTGTATGTATGTTGTTGAAGTCATATATCATGTACAGAGCGTATGTAAGTCGTTGCACTGGTATATCATGTACAGAGTGTATGTATGTTGTTGGCGTGGTATATCATGTACAGAGTGTATGTAAGTCGTTGCAGTGGTATATCATGTACAGAGTGTATGTATGTTGTTGCAGTGGTATATCATACAGAGTGTATGTATGTTGTTGCAGTGGTATATCATGTACAGAATGTATGTATGTTGTTGAAGTCGTATATCATGTACAGAGTGTATGTAAGTCGTTGCAGTGGTATATCATGTACAGAGTGTATGTATGTTGTTGGTGTGGTATATCATGTACAGAGTGTATGTATGTTGTTACAGTGGTATATCATGTACAGAGTGTATGTATATGTCGTTTCAGTGGTATATCATATACAGAGTGTATGTGAGTCGTTGCACTGGTATATCATGTACAGAGTGTATGTATGTCGTTGCACTGGTATATCATGTACAGAGTGTATGTATGTTGTTGCAGTGGTATATCATACAGAGTGTATGTATGTTGTTGAAGTCATATATCATGTACAGAGCGTATGTAAGTCGTTGCACTGGTATATCATGTACAGAGTGTATGTAAGTTGTTGCAGTGGTATATCATGTACAGAGTGTATGTATGTTGTTACAGTGGTATATCATGTACAGAGTGTATGTATGTTGTTGGAGTGGTATATCATGTACAGAGTGTATGTATGTTGTTACAGTGGTATATCATGTACAGAGTGTATGTATGTCGTTTCAGTGGTATATCATATACAGAGTGTATGTGAGTCGTTGCACTGGTATATCATGTACAGAGTGTATGTATGTCGTTGCACTGGTATATCATGTACAGAGTGTATGTATGTTGTTGCAGTGGTATATCATACAGAGTGTATGTATGTTGTTGAAGTCATATATCATGTACAGAGTGTATGTAAGTCGTTGCACTGGTATATCATGTACAGAGTGTATGTAAGTTGTTGCAGTGGTATATCATGTACAGAGTGTATGTATGTTGTTACAGTGGTATATCATGTACAGAGTGTATGTATGTTGTTGGAGTGGTATATCATGTACAGAGTGTATGTATGTTGTTTCAGTGGTATATCATGTACAGAGTGTATGTATGTTGTTACAGTGGTATATCATATACAGAGTGTATGTGAGTCGTTGCACTGGTATATCATGTACAGAGTGTATGTATGTCGTTGCACTGGTATATCATGTACAGAGTGTATGTATGTTGTTGCAGTGGTATATCATGTACAGAGTGTATGTATGTTGTTGCAGTGGTATATCATACAGAGTGTATGTATGTCGTTGCACTGGTATATCATGTACAGACTGTATGTATGTCGTTGCAGTGGTATATCATGTACAGAGTGTATGTATGTTGTTACAGTGGTATATCATGTACAGAGTGTATGTAAGTCGTTGCACTGGTATATCATGTACAGAGTGTATGTAAGTTGTTGCAGTGGTATATCATGTACAGAGTGTATGTATGTTGTTACAGTGGTATATCATGTACAGAGTGTATGTATGTTGTTGGAGTGGTATATCATGTACAGAGTGTATGTATGTTGTTACAGTGGTATATCATGTACAGAGTGTATGTATGTCGTTTCAGTGGTATATCATATACAGAGTGTATGTGAGTCGTTGCAGTGGTATATCATGTACAGAGTGTATGTATGTCGTTGCACTGGTATATCATGTACAGAGTGTATGTATGTTGTTGCAGTGGTATATCATACAGAGTGTATGTATGTTGTTGCAGTGGTATATCATACAGAGTGTATGTATGTCGTTGCACTGGTATATCATGTACAGAGTGTATGTATGTCGTTGCAGTGGTATATCATGTACAGAATGTATGTATGTTGTTGATGTCGTATATCATGTACAGAGTGTATGTAAGTCGTTGCACTGGTATATCATGTACAGAGTATATGTAAGTTGTTGCAGTGGTATATCATGTACAGAGTGTATGTATGTCGTTGCAGTGGTATATCATGTACAGAGTGTATGTATGTTGTTGGAGTGGTATATCGTACAGAGTGTATGTATGTTGTTGCAGTGGTGTATCATGTACAGAGTGTATGTATGTCGTTGCACTGGTATATCATGTACAGAGTGTATGTAAGTTGTTGCAGTGGTATATCATGTACAGAGTGTATGTATGTTGTTGGAGTGGTATATCATGTACAGAGTGTATGTATGTTGTTGCAGTGGTATATCATACAGAGTGTATGTATGTGGTTGCAGTGGTATATCATGTACAGAATGTATGTATGTCGTTGCAGTGGTATATCATGTACAGCGTGTATGTATGTCGTTGCAGTGGTATATCATGTACAGAGTGTATGTATGTTGTTGGAGTGGTATATCATGTACAGAGTGTATGTATGTCGTTGCACTGGTATATCATGTACAGAATGTATGTATGTCGTTGCAGTGGTATATCATGTACAGCGTGTATGTATGTCGTTGCAGTGGTATATCATGTACAGAGTGTATGTATGTTGTTACAGTGGTATATCATGTACAGAGTGTATGTATGTCGTTTCAGTGGTATATCATGTACAGAGTGTATGTGAGTCGTTGCACTGGTATATCATGTACAGAGTGTATGTATGTCGTTGCACTGGTATATCATGTACAGAGTGTATGTGAGTCGTTGCACTGGTATATCATATACAGAGTGTATGTGAGTCGTTGCACTGGTATATCATGTACAGAGTGTATGTATGTCGTTGCACTGGTATATCATGTACAGAGTGTATGTATGTTGTTGCAGTGGTATATCATACAGAGTGTATGTATGTTGTTGCAGTGGTATATCATGTACAGAATGTATGTATGTCGTTTCAGTGGTATATCATGTACAGCGTGTATGTATGTCGTTGCAGTGGTATATCATGTACAGAGTGTATGTATGTTGTTGGAGTGGTATATCATGTACAGAGTGTATGTATGTTGTTGCAGTGGTATATCATGTACAGAATGTATGTATGTATGTCGTTGCAGTGGTATATCATGAACAGCGTGTATGTATGTCGTTGCAGTGGTATATCATGTACAGAGTGTATGTATGTTGTTACAGTGGTATATCATGTACAGAGTGTATGTATGTCGTTTCAGTGGTATATCATGTACAGAGTGTATGTGAGTCGTTGCACTGGTATATCATATACAGAGTGTATGTGAGTCGTTGCACTGGTATATCATGTACAGAGTGTATGTATGTCGTTGCACTGGTATATCATGTACAGAGTGTATGTATGTTGTTGCAGTGGTATATCATACAGAGTGTATGTATGTTGTTGCAGTGGTATATCATGTACAGAGTGTATGTATGTTGTTGAAGTCGTATATCATGTACAGAGTGTATGTAAGTCGTTGCAGTGGTATATCATGTACTGAGTGTATGTATGTTGTTGGAGTGGTATATCATGTACAGAGTGTATGTAAGTCGTTGCAGTGGTATATCATGTACAGAGTGTATGTATGTTGTTGCAGTGGTATATCATACAGAGTGTATGTATGTTGTTGCAGTGGTATATCATGTACAGAATGTATGTATGTTGTTGAAGTCGTATATCATGTACAGAGTGTATGTAAGTCGTTGCAGTGGTATATCATGTACAGAGTGTATGTATGTTGTTGCAGTGGTATACCATGTACAGAGAGTATGTATGTTGTTGCAGTGATATACCATGTACAGAGTGTATGTGTGTCTTTCAGTGGTATATCATACAGAGTGTATGTGTGTCTTTGAGTGGTATATCATACAGAGAGTATGTATGTTGTTGCAGTGATATACCATGTACAGAGTGTATGTGTGTCTTTCAGTGGTATATCATATAGAGTGTATGTGTGTCTTTCAGTGGTATATCATACAGAGTGTATGTGTGTCTTTCAGTGGTATATCATACAGTGTGTATGTATGTTGTTGGAGTGGTATATCATGTACAGAGTGTATGTGTGTTGTTGGAGTGGTATATCATACAGAGTGTATGTGTGTCATTTCAGTGGGGTAATGCTACGTGGATCAGGCATCAAGTGGGATCTGAGGAAGACACAGCCATATGATGCCTATGACAAGGTGGACTTTGACGTCCCTATTGGACGTATTGGAGACTGCTACGACAGGTTAATAACACACTTGTTTCTATCTTGCATTAAGATACTTATTTGTGATTGATTACTTAGTGAATGGGCAATTCCATTTTGGGGAAAATGCTGAACTTTGTACCATGGCAAATAATATGTGATTATATATTTTTGAAAATATTTTGAGTATGCATATATTTAGATATATGTGCAGAATGGTATGCCCCTGACAAGACCTTTACTGGCTTTAGTGTGTGTTACATTCTATGCATGTTCTGAAATACAGACCCATGCCAGTTATATTCGGACACTTGACGTAACTTCCATAGACTTACATGTTATTTCAGTGTAGCATAAATAATTTTCATGAAGTGAGTTTAAGATGGATCTATGTAAAATTTGACAGGCAAATTTGAAATCATCTTTGCTTTGCCTATATATATAATTTCATTTCAATTCTCCAACCACTATTTAACTAATGACATCACATTTAGCAACTTACGTATGGTTCCACAATGCACAATCCTATAGGCCGCCATGTTGGCGGAGTTCACGGCACTGTACACATGTTGATTACATTGTTGCCATTCGATAAATAAGCAATGGAAAATTAAACTTTGTGATTGTAGGTAAAATGATTCCTCACAAGTGTGCAAAATTTGACTTGGATCTTACGAAAATGAAATTCATGAAAATTGTTTATGCTACACTAAATTAACATGTAAGTCTATGAAAATTATGTCAAGTGTCCGAATATTGCACGGGTCTGTAGGTTTCTACATGTTTGGTATGCTGTTGCTTTTACATCACACACATGCAGTTATAAAGGGTTATGTATGACTGTAGAGATATTGATGTCAAGGCTACTGACATGTGAATATCTTCATAAGGAAGGACTTTTAATGCAAATTCTACCATGAATCAAGAAAATACTAGATTCTGATTGGTTGTTCAGAAAAATCAGACGGCATCAATTGTGGATTGACGCTCATCTGATTGTAAGGCCGCTTCACCGCGCATTGACAAATCTTATTGTGAGAACTACTTTCGTTTGACCACAATGATGGCGGATCATAACAACAGCTCCATGGATTTTGACGCTGACTTTCGAATATTCCACATAGGCAATTGGAAATTAAAAATTAAAAATGCGTTTGATTTCATTGCGCTTCACTGTGCACATATAGAACACTGCCTCACTACTTCAGCTTGACCACCAACATGACTAATATCAACACAACAGACGTGATGGAAATGCTGATAAAACATTTATTTAAACTCGAAAAATACAATTATATGATTTCCCCCTCCCCACATACACACACACACACACACAATTATGAGGGAACCTCACTATCATATTACCTTCAATTATAAAAATATTCAAACTCAATTACAATACACAGCCCCAAACATAAACAAAACAATATCTAACATATAAATCAGAAAGCCTTGTAAAAATACATCCCTATCTATACAAAATATGCAGCAAAACATTAGTAAACATTTACCTACCTGGTAAATGGTATATTTAATTCCGTTTAGAATGGGAAATTTGCAAGATAGATCTAACGGTCTGGCGAAACACAACATTTATGCCACTCATAGTCATACTCCATCATATCCCGTTGCATCGTTCACAAAATAATTCTGTTCTCTGCCAGCTTCCCGCAAGGGTTGTCACTGTTATGTTCATCTAATTTGAAAACGCTTGGACACAGTCCAGTCCCAAGCGATGAAAACAAAGTTCCAAGGAATCACAAGTTAGTCGTGATGTACACTAAGCAGCAGCACTGTCACCCTTTTGTGGCATGCCGGGTGGAGGCAGTGCGATGAAATCATGATAGGCGGTCATAAAAATCAACAGTCTTTGATGAGTTACAGGTCGTAGGTTGATCAGGAAAGTATCTATCCTTCGATTCTGCAGGGTTCAGATTCGACAGTCAGTCAAGTATTGCCCACTGTCACTTCAAATTTCAACCTTTTCGCGAAATGTAAACACTGGCTCGTCCGCCATTTCAAACTGTTCGCGTAACTGTCTACTTGAAGAAAATAAGTATGTCAGACGATTCCATTTATAGTGTGGCCAGGGGTACAGTTTCACGGCACACAAAAACAATAGGCTGGTTTTAGTCGCAGGAGTTGGGATGAAAAAACCCCAAGATCTCGGGTATTACATAATTGCATTGAATAAATAGTAGTTTGATTTCTTTGGACAGAATATTGTTATGTTGTAATGTTAAAAAATACGAACGGCACCTACCGCTCCCTTCACAGACGAGTTCAATTAAGCCTCTCGTCCCATGCCGGATTACACAGTGTCTTCCGCAGAGCGAGGAAGTTCGATTTTAAATGGTTCATGGTAGAATGGAGATAACCCTAGTGTGTTTGAAAATCAGAGACATGCTTTACTGTATTGATGGCGAGTAAAAATTTAGTCGCCATCAATTCAGTAAAGCATGTCTCTGATTTTCAAACACACTAGGTTTATCTCCTAAGTAATCTTATGTTTGAGATACCTCCTGGAATTAGACATCATATTTTTATCTTATTTTGACCAATCAGATTCAAACATAGTAGAAAATTAGTATGGAATATGAAAGACAATTTGTTACACTCAACTTTCATTTTTATTAAACAGTTGCTCTGCTCGTGTAGGGCAATGGTGATGAGATTCATATAATCGCTGTTACAGATACCTGATCCGTATGGAGGAGATGAGACAGTCACTGAGGATCATCCACCAGTGTCTCAACAAGATGCCACCAGGTGAAGTGCGTGTTGATGACAACAAGATTTCTCCTCCTAAACGGGCAGAGATGAAGGTAAATAGTGTCTGTATCTGGTATACCAACTATCAACTGAGATATTCTTTTAGCTTGTTGGAATTCAGTTGAACAATTGCAAGAAATCTAGTTACTGTTATTTAACAAACAAGATAAAGACAAAATATGATCATAAAGGAAAAAATATTTGCAAGCAAGTGAGTGTGAGAATACCAAAGTGGTAACAGTGTGTTTTGTGACAGAAGATTTGAACATGTATGTTCTCCGTTATCTCATTGTACAGGTAGAAACTAACCCAGGCCAGTCTCACATACAAGTATAACAATTTCAGGCTATTTAAAACTTGAAATGCATTATTACATCATTACCAGCTGTCACACTGGATAATGAGATATGACTGAAATAATGTCACAAGAAAAAACAGACTGTCCTATGTTTTACTTTGTAATACTGATGTATAACGAGAAAAGTTGTTACTTATTTGGAAATAATGGTAAGAATCTTAATTTTTATCATTCTTTCTCTTCAATATGAGAACTGAAATGGTTGATAAATGTAATGAAGAAAGAAATGTTCAAGGGAGGCAACTCTGTACCCTTGATTGTAAGATTGTCTGCCCCTTCTCCACATGTCTTCTGTCAGCTCCATTCATACAGCAGTCAGTACCATTGTTTCATTTTGTTAGGTACTTGGATGCCACTTATTATGACATTGATATCTGTGGAAACAAGTTATCCTTTGCCTACTAACTGAACAGGAGTGAATAAGTAATGGATCTTCTTAAATGAAGATTTCTTAGTACATGTGTTTTAAGGAAAATATGCCATCTTATGCTTGTACCCTGAAATATTGTTTCATTATGTTTGACATCATTATTTTCCTCATATAAAATGATGTTTCAACCTCAAACAATCCCTTTAATATTTTCACTGATCAAAAGAAGGCGAATCACTATAATGTACAGAAGAGGACGTTATGTGTATGCGAGATCCCTGTTGTGCTAATACAAAGTGACTACCTGTGAGGGAGTCACTCATTCACGTGACTGCCTGACCATGCCAGGGGAATTCTGCATGTCACGTAAAATTGTGTCTAAAAGTGATATTTATGAATATAATGGTTCAGTCATTGATTGTTCTTCGAGTTATTGAATGACATGAATGAAAATGTAAATAGAAAATTCGCATAGTCAATTTTTGAGCAAAATGTGATGACTTTTAACAGCGTATTTCACCAATGTTCATATTTTTCAGAAATGTAAATTTAGTATTTTCTGAAAGCTCATTCATTGTAGATTCAAAATATACATGCAGCTTTCAAGGCACAGGAATGCACATCTCATGGTTATTTAGTTGAAACACATTAACTTTCTTCGAAACTGTCTTGCATAGAAGTGACTGGAGCAGCGAACTGTTAATGCAAGGTAACCGATGCCTGACTAAATTGTTCAGTCAAAACATCCGTTACTAGGTATTTGTGAAGTGTACAAGAAATATGTGAGATTTCATTTAACAGTCAAAACAACACTTTATTTATTCCATTGATGCCTTGAAAATATAAGGCTGTGTATATTTAGGATTGTAGACTTTGAATTTGGAAGTGAATGTTCATGATGATGTTTTTGTGTTGTAGGAGTCTATGGAGTCATTGATCCATCACTTCAAGCTGTACTCTGAGGGCTACCAGGTTCCTCCAGGCTCTACCTACACAGCCATTGAGGCACCCAAGGTGAGCCCCTCATGTACAGTGTAGTACTATAATGCCATCGTGACTCTCTAGGTGAGTTCATGACACAGTACTATACAGCCATCGTGACACTCTAGGTGAGTTCATGACACAGTACTATAAGGCCATCGTGACTCTCTAGGTGAGTTCATGACACAGTACTATACAGCCATCGTGACTCTCTAGGTGAGTTCGTGACACAGTACTATAAAGTCATCGTGACACTCTAGGTGAGTTCATGACACAGTACTATACAGCCATCGTGACACTCTAGGTGAGTTCATGACACAGTACTATAAGGCCATCGTGACTCTCTAGGTGAGTTCATGACACAGTACTATACAGCCATCGTGACTCTCTAGGTGAGTTCGTGACACAGTACTATAAAGTCATCGTGACACTCTAGGTGAGTTCATGACACAGTACTATACAGCCACCGTGACCCTCTAGGATAGTTCCACACAGCCATTGATGCTTCCAAAGTGAGTTCATGATAACTACTACACATTTGTTGCAGCACTCAATATGATCTAATGACGATACTGTGAATACAGGCTGTACATGTGCAGTATGACCAATGATAAAGCTCTGCTTCTGCCAGATTGCCAGGACCTAGCAGTACATCTGTCCAATTGCAATGATCCTGTGTCCAGTTTACAATCATGTATAAATACTTCTATCCAGGTTGCAGTGATGTGGCTGTAGTTCTCTATATTGCAAATTATGCACTTCTATTCAGATTGCAATGATCTGGATTTTTGTTTCTGTATTTGTATTTTTAACCTATCATTTCGTTTAACCAACATTAAGATTAAAGTTACTGATCCACTGTGTTGACTTTCAGGGCGAGTTTGGAGTTTACCTTGTGTCTGATGGCACCAACAGGCCATACAGATGCAAGATCAAAGCTCCAGGATTTGCTCATCTGGTAGGTCGCATTGTCATTGCTTGGTTCTGGCAAGTAAACATTATAATGTGTGCTCCATCTTCATTTCCAGGGTTCTGGCAAGTACAGTTGTACAAAACAACCTTAGCGCTAAGACTGTTGTAAGTCTGTGTCGAGGGATGGGACTTACAATCACCTTAGCGCTAAGGTTGTTTTGTACAATGCCCCCTGGTGGATCATTGCTCATGCTGTCAACTTCTGGTTTGCCTGGCTCAACACCATTTACTCACTCTCACGAAATAATGAGCAAGTAATAATTTTTCCTTATCCTGACTCATGCTCTTTTGCTTGTCTTCTTCTTCTTGCGAACATAGTGGAACACTTGTATCTCCTTATTTGAAGCTCCCTTCAAAATAAAATCACTAATTGGTACTCACCACGAGTTGCTCCCCTTTGTCTCCCCTGGCGGGAAAAGGTGTCGCCACCCTCTGGCCATGTGCTGCACTCTCTCCTTCTTCGCCCAGTGAGCAGGATGTGAGAGCGCCTTGTGTCTCCTTACACACATATCCTTTGATAATCTCTTAGTTTTTACCTCTCATAGGTTACTATAGAGGTATAGCTAGTATCCTTTACTATTTGTATTGATTAATTATCATGATTTCTACTGTTTATTCCGTGTATTCGTGATTGTTCAGCTAGCTTTACGTTCATGAAAATCTGTACCGATTTGTAGATTACGCTTTTCTGCCTCCGATCCACATGTAATATGCCCTAGTTGTTCTACGCCGTGTGCGTTTAATTCACGATTGCAGTTACTGCATTAATTTATCTCATTCTGCATTTAATAAATATCATCTTTGCGTCTTAAGACGCGTGCTGCAGATAGATCACGCAAACAAGGGCAAAACATGGCAGAGAGTCCAGATATTCCTTCCAGTCAGCTGCTAGCGATCGACCCTCTCCCGTCTGGTGTTCTGCTAGAGACCCTGCGCGCAGAGGAACGGGGGCGCAGTCCGTTACCTCGAAAAAGCGACCGCCTCCCCAGACATCCCGTCATTGCAGACTAAGTCTAAGAGGGCTCTCATCGCCGCCTCAACGCAGATTGAGGACACCCAGGGCAGCGCAGACTTCCAAAGGAAATCTCTGAAGACAGCAAGAACTTTCTCAGCCGAGATCGTTCCAGCAGCAGAGTTGGGCCTCTCGATGATCAGCCGATAATCATCCCTCGACTTACGGCAGAAGAAGCTGACGGTGTCAGCGACTGTGACTTCTGCAGAGATCTCCATGCAGCCTGATGCCTCTACACCGGCGTCAGACGTCATTGATGTGAACCCCATCGCAGAAAAGACGCCGACGACTTCGCCACAGATCATCCCAGAAGACATGATGCGGCAGATTATGAACATCATGGAGGACCACTACAAACTGCGCAAGCAGGGTCCGAACCCAGCGAAGGCTCCAACGTGACAGCACCCCAGAGGCACCCCCGTCAACGTAGCAGCCAAGACGATGTCACCTTCGAAGGAAGTCCCGCACCACCTTGGCGAAGGACCTAGATGTACAGCCGCCGAAGGCCTTAGCGCGGCGGAGAGATCATCACCATCTTCGATTTCATCTCTAGATATGGACTCAGACCATCAGACATCACGGAAGCGCTAAGGTCATATCATCGATCCCGGACGGGCGCAAATGAAGCTTTCTCGGCATTCGCGGCGACATATGATTCCAGATCTTCATCGTCTAGAAGAACATCGAGGGACTGCCGAAGAGCTTCAGAAGCTATCAACATTCACCTCACAAGTCTCGAAGAAGATCATCCCATAGACGATCTCCACTCCGTTCATCACCAGGTCGATCACCCATCAGATCTCCACATAGAGCGGCACAAGTCAACTAGATCGCCACAAACCTCATCAGATATACAGACAGCTACACGCAGCGGTCGAAGAGCATCTACAATTTATTAATGATGATGGTTTTGAGGATGATGGAGGAATCATATTTTCTGATGCAGAATCACGGTATTGGATGGTCAATAACCTAGATCTCACATCACCATCTAAAAGTGGCAATACAGCTCAGGCGTATTTGATGAAGGAAGATGATCCAGATGCAATCACTCTACCCGATCGAATCTCGATTAGCGCAGTGCCACAGAATCTAGATGCAGCTTTCCAGAAAGCTCACGAAAGTTCAGATACCACATCTACCCAACTTTCAAGCCAAGAAGTTCTCCACGCATAACATGGACTCCTTCTACAAGGCCCAGGACATCGATGAGAACTATAAGATCATCAGCGATGTAAAGAACAAGATTTACAAGATGGATGATCGCAAGTTGGCTCATATAGAAACCATGACGAAGGCGTATGTTCTTTGGGTTAAATAGATCTAGGGGCGATCAATGAGACTCTTATTACTAGATTCGAGGATTCCACGACGGAAGATGATAGAATGATTTATTCTGCCTTACTTATGCAAAAGAAAGATCAGCAGTTTTAACGGATCATCTTACATCTGTTTCAGCAGCACTGACCTTAGCTGCGTCGTCAAGGCCTCCTGCGCCTCCTGTAATTGGGGAGAACTTTACAGCCCCACTTTATACAGCCCGTGGTCGACAACATCCATCTTTGGCGGAGAAATCGACAAGGTCGCCAAGGAAGTCTCTAAGGATTCCAGGGAAGTCCTTATGATTAGATCGATGGACACACTAGCCAGCGTCATTCGTCAGACTTCACAAAGATACTCAGGCAGATCTAAGTTCACGGGCCTACAAAGAGCAAGAGACAGGAAGATAGCCAGCTCTAGAGGTAAAGATTCTTTTAAAATTAAGCCCATATGGCAACTATAGAGGAGGATCAGGAAGAGGCAGGACACCCAGAGGTTCCCGCAATTATAGGCGCTGAAACACAGGTTGAACGACTGGAGTCTTCCACCCCAGCCGTTCCAGTACAACCAGCTCAAGTGGGTGGGCGCCTCCAACTACACTGGGAAAACTGGGGAATACTGCAAGATCCTTACGTCTCCAACATTATGCAACACGGATTTCAGTATCCCTCTACAGGACAAGCCTCGCTGACAATCAAACCCCCAAGTTCGATTTACAAAGCAACAACTACCAAAGATAAAGAGGCTGTCTCATCACTCCTATCCAAACAGGCCATAGAAGTAATAGACCAAGCAAGCGTCGAACCAGGTTTCTACTCCCCAGTTTTCCTAGTTCCCAAGAAAAACTCCACGGAGAAATACAGACTCATCTACAACATGAGCTTTTTCAACAAGAACTATCACGCAAAACCACGAAGTTTAAGCATGATACATTTACCTCAGTTACGCCAGATGATTAGTCCTATGGACTACATGGGCAGCATAGATCTACAGGATGCCTACTTGCACATCCCCATTCATCCCGATTCCAGGAAATACCTACGATTTACTCTAGAAGGGCTACATTACCAGTGGAAAGTACTCCCATTGAATATCATCAGCCCCTGGCTATTCACGAGGATAACGAAACCGATTATCAAATTTCTACATCGTCAAAGGGCTACGCCAGTGCGTTTTACCTCGACGACGGGATACAAGTAGATCAAGATCCACTCGTCTCAAACTACAGTTAAATTACATCATAAAGCTACTAACACAACTAGGTTGGTTAGTAAACTTACGCAAGTCGGACCTAGTACCATCGCCAAGACCTACAGTTCCTAGGTATTCGATTCATCACAAATCGCGAACCGTATTATGGTACCAGAAGACCGTTGGCTCAAGATACAACAGACCATTCCACCAGCTCTACTCTCTCCGTTACCACTCGCGACAATGGCAGAGCCTACTAGGTCTTCTCACATCAGCCCAAGACATGACTGTCACAGGCAGATTACAGTTACGCGTCCCTACAGGTCCTCATCAACGCACATCTCAGCGATGTACAACCATTCAGTCTACGAAACATCTCAGACCACATCTACTATGGTGGACCAAGGAATCGAATGTCTCGCGAAGGGATTGGTTTAGCAGAGCAGGAATACAAAACCCATCTGTATGTAGGCGCGTCACTCCAAGGTTGGGGAGCTCATCTCACCAACCACACGATATCAGGGTTATGGAATCAGCAAGAATGCAAACTCCATATAAACAGTCTAGAAATGAAAGCTGTAATCAGCGCCATTCTACATTGGAGCACATTTCTACAAAATCTTGCTAATGATCCATACAGACAATTAAGACAGTGGCGTTCTACATAAACAAGCAAGGCTCAACGAGATCGATGAACCTTTTGAACCTAAGCTTTCAACTGTTCGATTTAATACAAGATCTAAATCTACATGTCAGAGCAGTGCACATTCGAGCCAGAAATATACTAGCAGGCGGCTCTCTCGGCCTCATCTACCATCACCGACAGAGTGGATGATCAACCGGAAATTTTTGCACAGATAATCAAGCAATTAGGAGCTAGCTAATAGACCTATTAAGCCACGCAGATTCAACAATCAGCTACCGACATTACGTGTCACCAGTCCCAGACCCCCAAGCTTGGGCAGCGGACGCTCTAAGTCTATCATGGGAAGGCCTCAATGCGTCACGGCGTTTCGCCCGCCAGCAATAATACCTCAAGTATTACAGAAAATCAGACAAACACAGAGCCTACAACTCACTTTGGTCGCCCTACTGGCCGGCCAGAGCGTCGGTTTCCCATACTAATTCAAGAAATCGGTCAACCAACACTGGAGCTACCCAAGCGGCATAAACCTGTTAATTCATCCTCACACCAAACAAGTGCACGGAAACCCAGCAATGTTCCAACTACACGTTATGGACTGTATACAAATGTGTTTAAACAAGAGAGGATATTCTGCCAGGGCGGCAAAAGCAGTCACGCTTGCCTTCACGTCAACTTCGTGGCAATACTGCGGCGACAAAGTGGCACAGTTTGAAAATTATGCAACAAAGAAAGGGTTTACAGCAAGAGAGCTTCACAACCTCAAGTGGCAGACTATTTGTGTTACCTACGCCAAAACAAACATTTAAAAGGTTCAACGATATCAACATATCTTGCGGCTTAGCTCTGTAATCACCATGAGAGCGGTGTCAAATTGACAAGATCTCCAGAGTTACTGGCCTTACTACGAGCTTTCGATTGGAGGACCAAAGCGGAAGTTCCGCTTCCAGCTTGGGATCTGAATGTAGTGTTACAACACCTCACGAGTGAGGTCTATGAACCATTGGAATCGACAAACTTTGAATTTCTCTCACAGAAAACATTGTTTCTGCTATCGCTAGCCACAGCAGCAAGAATGTCTGAAATTCACGCTCTGGATTACGAGAGGATACAGTTTGATGACAATCATAACACAGCGCACCTCCGGATTAAGATGGGATTTCATTGCAAAGAATCAACTGCCAGGTCAACCAGACAGATTATTCCACATCCGGTATCCTCTATTCTCGGATCACAAGATACACAAGACCTATCACTGTGTCGGTAAGAGCTCAAAGTTTATTTCTGACGATCCAAAACAAGGAGAAAGATTTCTCAAGCGTTTATTCATCCCATTATAAGCCTCACGAATCAAACAGAAGTGTCACGGACCACAATATCTATTTGGATAAGGACTGTCATTCTCCGTGCCTACAAGGCAGCAGGCTTGGACCCACCAACAGCATCAAATCCACATGAGATCAGGGCACTGGCCTCTACCCTCGCCCTACGGTAACTGTTCCTTGAACACGATTATGGAAGGATGCTATTGGAAATCTAACATGGTATTTGCTAATCACTACCTAAGAGACATCACTACAGAAGATGTCTCTGGCATTCATTTCGGACCACTGGTCCTCGCTCAACAACTGACAGTCCCTGCAGTAGGCGTTAAAATATTAGCCTCACAAGATTAATATGTATTTTATACATACTCATCTAGCTTATAACTCTAAGGAGTTTTAGGGCTATGTATATATGTTCAGCTTAAGTATTCTACCTTAAGCATATACTTGGATATAGTCAATTTCAGTGCCTCTATCAGAGTCACCTATATATATATATATATAATTTATATGTATTGTTCAATATATTCATAATGTAATTCCCCTTTAATGGCTTTATATAACCTATGGTTTCTTTATACAGGAAACATCCTAAATCTAAGGCTTCATGAAGTTCCGTGAGGGAATATTACAGTATATCTATACAAAATCACTAATTATAAATCCAAAGTATTCTGTTACCCACCTCCGTTCCATTAGGATGCTACAAACAAAGAGCATGAGTCAGGATAAGGAAAAATATGTAATTTTTAGAGTAAAATTGATATTTTATACTTATCCTGACTCATGAGGTTAACCCTCCCATCCTCCCCACATAACACTTTGGATTTCCCTGTAAATTCAAGTGTTGGGCTCGCTAAATCAGGAGAGAGTGGAGCACATGGCCAGAGGGTGGCGACACCTTTTCCCGCCAGGGGAGACAAAGGGGAGCAACTCGTGGTGAGTACCAATTAGTGATTTTATTTTGAAGGGAGCTTCAAATAAGGAGATACAAGTGTTCCACTATGTTCGCAAGAAGAAGAAGACAAGCAAAAGAGCATGAGTCAGGATAAGTATAAAATATCAATTTTACTCTAAAAATTACATATTTCAGAACACTTGTATCAATGTTTGTTGGTTCCCTTCAAACTTACCCTTAATCTATAAAATCTTAATAGCACCATTTTGTAGCACCACAGCTGCCATATGTGGAATGGTGTATGGTTGAAAGTAGTCATCACTCATCAGGAGCTTTGTTTATTTGTATATCTTGCTGTTATGTACTGTTTTGTAAACTGTTATTAGCTATCAAATGCATGTGTTATAGAACATGTTTAGCTACTAAGCTATTATTTCTTTCTGTGAAAATTTGTTTTGAAAGTTTACTCATTATTTCAGGCTGGTTTGGACAAGATGTCAAGGAAGCACATGTTGGCCGATGTTGTTGCTATAATAGGTGAGGCATATATTTCGTATTCAAGTATGTGTGTTCCATTTATAAATTAGAATAAGATTATTGAAATTGATCACTTTCATTTTTGTGTTTTCCAGCAATAAAATCACAGGAATTCTTAGAAGACTTTGAGGTTCAGACAATATCCTGAGTGAATATGATTTTATATATGAAAGTTATTAGCAAGTTGGAAAGGGGAGGTGACTATGTAGCATATATTTTAGATTGCCTCCCCCTTGCTCAGTACTTGCCTAATCGTGTCAGTTTTCACTGTGTAACTGATGTAACTGATTGTTTCAGGAACCCTGGATGTTGTGTTTGGTGAAGTAGACCGATAGAGCAGAGGATGGCACCTTGAGACAAGTATGTGAGTGAGTGAGTTTAGTTATGTAGTGGTAGGGAACAACATACCTTCAATGTGGCATTGTAGATCTTAAGGACTGTATGTGTTCACAGACAACCTGGTCAAGTAGTGTGTAGGATGACATGTTCGCATACAATGCGATATAGTAGAAGACTGTGCGATATACATGAACTTAGTTCACAAGCTCATGTGACTTCTGGTGAAGATTAACCCTCAGCTGTGGCATGGTTGAAAGTGGTGTCAGGTGCCCATGGGGGTATTTTCATGTTCTCACTGGACTGCTGTTTTGACTTTGCAGCTCCACACCAATCCTGATCAAGTTCTGTATTCTTTGTTCATGGTGAGCAGTAACTGGATGACAAGTGCGGCCAGTTCTGATGTGTGTGTTGTGTGTTGCAGATACTAGCTGTTGTGACGCAGACCAATGAACACAGGAGGGAGAGCAACTATGTGAAGGAATATTTATTGTACATACAGTGTGTTGAAGCACCCCCAGTCTCAGCAGTACATTGCTACAGCAGTCTGTCATTGGTAATTGTTTTGTACATAAAGGCCATATTTGTGAAACATTTCGTGAATGTTATGATTTGATGGCATTAAAACTTAACAACAAGGACATTCTGTGTTGTTTGTTATTCTTTGGAAAACTGAACATAGTACAGGATGCATGACATCACAGACACATGTATATCAGTGTGGGGAGTACATTGATGTCTGTCACCCTACCCTGACATTGCATCAATATCAGTCATTGGATTGTATGTCTGGTTCAGACACTATTGTATCCAATGGCATCAAGCAAGAAATAATAAATTGTTCATTTAGTTCAGATGTGATTCATGAAATCAATTTCTGGAGTGAAGCAATTAGAAATTGCACTCAAGTCGGAAATCGGGGGGAATGTTTTGTTTTCCTGTTTTTTTTTGCACTGAACCAAACTCATCTGTGAAGACCTGGAAATGGATGAAGGTGTTAAATGTGTGGATGGTAAAACTTGAAGAGGGAAATTAGTAACCTTGTATCACAGCAACAATCTTCGGTCAGAAATGGAGAGATTCAATAATAATGTACATAATGTAGTTAATATATCCCCACAGCCTTTGCTTATTTTGGAAATCTGTTAGGTTGTTGAAGCAGATCTGACTTCATACTTGTCATTCAACAAAATGAACACATGTGGACATCATGCTACTTGACAGAGTCCAAAAAACTAGGGGCCTTTTTGAAACTCAGGTCAGCAAGAAGATGACTCCCCAAACGTCAAGACAAATATCTTAAAATGCATTCAGAGTACAGGTGTAGGCAGAAGATATTCCCAACATTCACAGTTTGAGAAAATCAGAGACCAAAAGATCTGACATTGCCTGGTCATCGATTCCTGGTGAACTGGTGTGTACACAATTCTACTGATTGATTCTCATTGTTTCAAAATTAACATACATATGCAAAATAAGCTGATGACATTTCAAAGCATCTTGTTGGTGTTAAGTCATGTATAATTTCTGAATACCACATTGTATGATTTGGAGTATATATTTAGGCTCTGTGTTATTGATATGGCTAAATTTCCTATTCCAACAAAGCACCACAAAGCAACCAGGAGACGTAACAGGAAAAAATACCCTGGTAATGAGGAAAAGGTCAATGATGATTTGTCTTCTGTGTCTCTAGAACTGATTGAAGGGTAAAGGATATGTTTATTGGTAAACTATAATTGATTGTGCCTGTTGAAAGTGTTCTTGATCGTGATAGAAAAGGACAGTTGACATCCTAATCACCATATCCGTGTATGTACTGCATCCTTGTAGTGGCTATAAATAATGACAACCGACATCATTGTTCATTATCAAACTTCCTGGGAGTGTCCACAATAATGGTTGAATTTGTAGGTTCAGCATCCGTGTAGTGGTTATAAATAATAACAATTGACTTCTCTGTACTTTATCAAAATTCATGGGAATGTTCACAATAATGGTTGAATTTGTTGGTTTAACATCCTTGTAGTGGATATAAAGAACTGACTTACCAGTCTGTTAACGATATTGTCAACATGTCTATGGCTACTATACTATTTATTCTATTCTGTTTTTGTAAAAAGGTGAACACAATATGGTTCAAAATCAAGGATCTAAAGTTATAAGAAAGCTTTTTAAACACTTAAACATGACACATAAATGACACAAAAAGAACCTAGAATACAGAGGGTTTGTTTAAAGGAAGACATGAACCATTTTGATCTATTAAATGTCCTCAAATTGTGGCTCTCAAACTATGATCATACTTTATATGAAGGATAAATATGATCCAAATACTCAAGTACATGTTCCAGTAAAATTATTCCCATATAAATAACATTTGTTACATTGGCACACAGTAAACTAAAGCGTGCTATGTGTTTAGCTTTTATCATTGTTCTCATGATTATGAGTCACGACATCAAGGAGCGGTGTGTAGTACAGCGACCGGAGATTCACCAGTTAGGTATTTCCGGATCTTACCTACCCCACAGTTAGGCAATATGAGGGTGATGTATCCGTTGCAAATGTCTACAGTTAGGCATTCGGTCATGGCCAGTCGTTGTTGTCCTTGTCGATAAACAGGTTGTAAGCTCTTATCTTTATATGTTGAAGTGATTTATTATTCTTTCCTTTCAATTCAATTACAACCAATAAATCTGACAGAACCTTTGCTTGAACATGACAACATTAAGATATGTATTTTCGTGGCAGCCTAACAGATAGCAAAAACGAAAAGTGTGAAGTATGACAAAACGTATGGACAAACAACCGAAAGTCTGCTCTTGGGTTACATGTCACTTCGTGAAGTGATATAAAAAAATTACAACGATTACAAACCTTGGAATAGAAATCCAATGGAATTTGTTGCCGAAAGTTTATTGTCACAGGAAGGACATGTTGTAGGAAAGAAACGTTTCTTTTTTCACTTTATGGTTACAGCTGAACGACTTTCAAATCTATCATTATAATATACAACGTATATTTTGCCAAAAAGTATACATAGTCTCCGAAAAATACGTGCATGTTTTATTTTATATCATTATGTTTAAAGACACGGAACAGGAAAGACATTGATTACAGGGGCGACATCTGTGGTAATATGTGAATGACTGAATACAATGTATATTTTGACAAAAGATCTATTCAGTAAGATAGTGATATTTTCCTATACGTTTTGGTTGAACAAACATGGCCAAACAAATGTCAAATAACATCGGCTGTTATGAGATGTACACTGTCTTGTTACAGGAATGACTTTCATCTACTCAAATTGTCTTTGACTGTAACCTGAATGAGTGCTATATGAAGGATTTTTCAGAATAAAAAAAATATTCCGCTAAATGGATGCTCCTTGAAAGAAAATAGCTCACAGTGCACCGATACTTCTTAAAAATGTATTGTGCAGTTTCATCTGCACACGGACATGGTTGATAAGGTTGCGCCAACAACACGGGTCGTAGGTTATACTGTATCGCCCTCATGTATACTTAATCAGATTATATATATAGAATAAACAACATGTCCTGTTTGAAATACTTCCCTGTTCTCATTGATTTCTACTTTGAACACTCATAATATGTGATACCTTTTGTACAAAGGTTACTAGATTGTCCTTTATCGTGATATGTTCACAGGGAAAAAAATCTTTCCTAAATCATAGAAGACGTGATAATTTAGAAAGAATTTCCTAAATCCTGAAAAGTGCTATACGTTGAAATAATTTTCCCACTTAAATACTATTCCATATGTATTGACAGGTCTATCAGTTTCGTGTGTCAAAGTTTTCCTTTGTTAATATTCAAATGACAAGGGCAGTATCACGAAACGAACAAAAGTAACATAATAGTGTGTATTTACCTCAAATTAGATGTAAGTGAAACACGGTGCAATGCTACGATAGTTTGTTGTGTATTGTCATAATTACAACAATCGTGCATTTGAGCTTGTATATTGCCATCACTGAAACTCTACACTGAATTAACGCCTGAAAAGTAGAATTAGTCTTCTGCAACCCATGCTTGTAAGAAGGAACTAGCAAGGTGGGGTGGCCAAGCTCGCTGACTTGTCATCGTATCCCAATTATGTGGATCAATGCTGCTGATCACTGGATTGTATGGTTTTTTCTTATCTGTATGGTCCAGACTCGATTATCTACAGACCGTCGCCATCTATCTGGTATTTTGCTGAGTGCGGCGCTAAAGAAAAACAAACCTATAGTGTATTATGCCAGATTAACATGGCAGATGTATGGCATGCAATATAATCTGACGTAAATATTGCCTACTCTCCTTGAAGTACCACTTATACTGTTTGCACACTGCCAATATCAGTAAATACCACTAATGCTTTCGTAACGCTTCAGTCAATATGTACAAAAGTGGCTTGTGGTTTAGTTAAGATCACCCCTTTACCTTGTTTGCTATTGAGATACATAATGTTGTATTCACATACACGTTTCAAGGGCAATAGTTAGGCAACCCACTTTAAGGTACTTCCTTGTAGGCCAGTCTGTCGAATCATGTGCACTGGGTAGGGAATAGTTCGGCAAAAAGACAACAATCTATACATGCCTCTAATATAACAGATCCTGGTTTCAGCCTGAATAGCACACCGCATTGAATTCAGAACGCGCTTTCCAGTTTATATAAAAGGGGCTAACTGGTGATGGAAACGCAGTATGCCATACGAGATAACGCTTGACCGTAAAGGTGTGCAAATTCACCCATATCATTCTTAACTGATAAGATATCTTAGTTGAAGCATCGTGTTTATTCCACAATGTTAAGCCACACCCTTAACAACCTTGCATTACGTCAGATGTGTATAGCTACAGGCAAACAAGAATCTGTGACAACACCTATGGTGCCCTTTGTATATCGATTATTATTTCATGCCCATCTATAAATGAAATTGATCTGTGCATTTGCTTGTGTGCTCCCTTGACGACAACATTCAATGATAATTACACCAGATCTCTAACAAACACTTGTCTAGAGCCACACACCCAGTTATTGACTACCACGCAATGCCTTTTCGAAATGGACAGTTTTAATATTGCAATTTAAGAAGCGAGTGTACAATGTTGTCTATAGACCAATAAAGCGAACCTTACATTCACTTTGGTGACTGTCACGTTAGATCATAGGCATTCCACGACTTTGTAAGGGGGCAGGAATATTTGTCAAATTCATCAAAAGTGATCACCAACAGTACTGATCATGGATGAAATTACGCTAAAATAACTGAGAAATAACTTATATATAAATGGTATTTTACCTAATAATTTATATAAATGATATTTTACTTCGTAATTTATATAAATGGTATTTGACCTAATAATTTATGTATATGGTATTTACCTAATAAATAGTATCAATAGTATTTTTACCTCGTAATTTATATCAATGGTACTTTACCTCGATTTATATAAATGGTATTTTACCTCGTATTTTACCTGATAATTCATATAAAAGGTATTTTTACTTAGAAATTTGTATAAATGGTATTTGTACCTATTAACGTAAATATATGGTTTAACAATCCAGCCATTATGTAGTGCTTTTCGTCCATGATATTCAAAGAGAGATCAAGAAATATTTT